CAAGGCAGGGCTTTTTATAGTGTCAGGGTCTGATTTTCAGTCTCAGACCACCTATTGATCTGGGCGACACATCAAATAGTGAGACCCCAGGCAGCATCTGGGAGTCCACTCATTAGGAAGCTACACGGAGACCCAGCACCGGTCACAAGAGGGTGGAGCGCAGAAGCCAGGTGATCCAGGGCCCTGTCCTGTGTAACCCTGCACAACTTCCACTGTGTATCCTGGGACGAGAGCTGTTGCCAGCATCCTTGCACTAACACCTGCCAACAGCCACATGCCTTGGAGGGTGAGGGTGTGGGTGTAGGGAACAGTCTTCTAGACCCAGCCTTCTGTCAGCCTAGTGTTTTATTAACCTTTGTCTACCTCTTTGAGGCTCAGAAAAGGGATGTACCTCTTATTACTATTTAGGCAGCCTTCTAAGCTGTGCACAGGTGCTGTCCAGCCTAGGCCATGCCTGGGCACTCGTACAGACCCTCTAACCGCTGCTGCTTCTAACTGCTGGGTGTTTCCGCGCCACACTCCACGGTTTACAGTTGGGAGTGTCAGCAGACAGGCATTGCAGAGGTCAGGAGGCTCTCGTTTCATAGGATAAACTAAGGTTCACAGAGAAACAGGGACTTGTTTAGTCACCAAACAGTGACTTGTTTAGTCACCAGACAAGCGGGTGGTAGAACAGGAAGTCCGCCCTGGTTCTCACTGGTGGGCGGTTCCACCGAGCTGACCCCGCAGGCAGCCACTGGCCGTCAGCTGCTGCCTTCCTGTGGCTGGAGAAGGGCAGCAGTGCCCAGGGGCCTGGGGGGTCTGGGGGGAATACGGTTGGGGGGGGGGGGACGCCAGGCCTTTACTTCTTGGTATATGTTTGCAGCCCCCTCCAAAACTGCCCAGTGGAGTATTCAGTCTGGAATTTCAAGATTTTGTGAATAAATGGTAAGTCTGCCCCCTTGCTCTCTGGAAGAGTATGCTGGGTTTGTCAGCCTCCCCACCCAGGCCTGGGGAGCAGAGCTCTGCTCTTTTCCTTGCACTTCCAGAGTGCTAGGACCTCGGGGACTGGTCTAACTACACCAGGGAGTAGAAGCTGCTGCTCTGGGCACCTGCTCTGTAGGGACTGGCCATACTGCCTTTTGAGCTTAGTTTAATTCACCAAGCACTTACTCACCTGCCGGCATGCCACTGTGCTAGAACAGGAGGGCCAAAGGCTCAGGCACTCCTTAGAACCTACAGGGTGTGCGGAGGGTAGCACAAAGCCTAAGCAATTGGAGTTGGAACCAGTGCCAGGTAAGGTCTCTCACATTATCTTTTTCTTTCAGCTTAATAAAAAACCCAGCAGAAAGAGCAGATCTGAAGCAACTCATGGTAAGTCCACTTATTTCCCATTTATTACTTTGTTGTGTCATCTGCCCAGGACTCCCCGTGCCCATTCCCTGCACCACCTTGACCAACCCTGGGGCTGCAGGATCCCAAACATCAGCCTCTGCCCCTCAGTGTAAAGGACAGGCTGAGGGAAGGAAGCCCATCTGTTACTTCGTTTCTCCTAGCCGCCACCCAGAGGCCCCGAGGGTAGAGCTGCCACCCGCAGGTCACAGTGGAAGAGCGTACGTTCTTTTGGCAGGAGCTGGCCATTTTCATGGCCCCCTATGGCTACCCCAGGACAGGCTCCAGGAGTTCCTCCTGAGCAAAGCTCTAGACCCAGGACTCTTGAACTTTCCTTTTGGTTTTTTGACACTTAACTGTTTCCCTCACACAGGTTCATGCCTTCATCAAGAGATCTGACGGTGAAGAAGTGGATTTTGCAGGTTGGCTCTGCTCCACCATTGGCCTTAACCAGCCCAGCACGCCGACCCACGCAGCTGGCGTCTAAATATTTGGGAAGCAGCAAAGAGCGAGTCCCCTGCCCAGTGGTGTGCCATGTTGCTTTCAGGCCTCCTTCCCATGCCTGTCTCTGTTCAGATGTGCATTTCACCTATGACAAAGGATGAAGAACACAGCATGTGCCAAAATTCTATTTGTGTCATTTTTAATATCGTCTTTATTCTTACTGTTCTCTCCCTAAGTGGATTGGCTTTGTGCTTGGGGCTACTCTTGTGTATGTCAATCCAAACACGCGCAACGTTGAATTACTTTGGTGACACTTTGGTGACCGTGGGTAGTCATTCTTACTCAAAATTGCACTGCTCTTCCCTCACCATGACTGGCTAGCTGCCTGTATTTTTGGGATTCTTTGACACTTGGTGGTACTGCATTCTTGCCAGGCATACCTCCTGTTTGAGTAGGAAGGAGCCTTGTAAGATCCTTCACAGGCAGTGCATGTGAAGCATGCTTTGCTGCTATGAAAAAGAACATCAGAAAGTATATATCATGTTATTTTATATTTTTGCTTTTGGTGTAGAGTGAAGCAATTTCTATCAAAATCTAGCCAGAGCCCTTCACTGCCATGATAGCTGGGGCTTTACCAGTCTGTCTACTGTGATGATTTGTAGACTTCTGGTTGTATTTCTATATTTATTTTTAAATATATTATGTGGGATATTTAGTGGTTTATGTCTCTTTAAGTTTGAATTAGCGTTTCTAAAATGGTGGTTACTTTGAATGTTACAAACGGATCAAGGCATTAAAATGTATGAGATTTATCTTTCCTCAGAAACAAGTACTGATGCTATTGTAAAACAAGTGTGTATAGTGCCTAAAAATTGTAATGAAAATCCTTTTAACCATTTCAATCCAAATGTTTAACAAATCTAATCTCTTATTCTAATAAATATACTATCAAGTTAAAAGGATGAAAAAATGTCTACTTTCATGATAGAATTTTCATCAGTGTCTCCGGCACACAAGAAATCAAATAATTTAGCCAAGCCTTATCGTGAGGGCAAAGGTAGAGACCGGAAGGAGGCTGGAAGGCCACAATGAGGACAAACTCGGTGTTCTGGACTAACGAATCTTCTCCCGATTCCAAGTCTGGGACTTTGTCCAACTATTCTCACCACTTGTGTGTGAATCTTCCAGCCACCTTTCCTGTGGACCCTGAATAGATCCATGTCTTCCTGCCATTTCTACACGGGGAAACATAGGAGGCAAGGGGGGCTGGTGCATCACTGGTGTGCTCCCGGGAGCACGGAGCACAATGCTCTTGGCCAGCCATGCCTGGCTGGTGCGGGAGCCTCTGCTCGGGATGCCCAGTCCCGTGTTGCTTTGCTCCCCTGAACAATGATTTCCCGCTTTGACCAGTGACTTCATTCTGCTTCCCCGGAGAGGAAGAGACCTGGCACTGGCCTGGTCCTGCCTGTGAGGTAGCAGTGAAGTCACAGAAAACAAAGCCATTTCCCAGATGACCACTGATGCTTTTCCTCTGACCAAGTCACTTTTGGAACTCGAGGTCCCTGAGATGCTGTGTGGTCAGCACCTCTTCCCTTGTTTACTTGGACAGCGCAGGCTGTAGAAAACCAAAATAAACACCTCTTTAAAAACCAAAAGGCCTATTTTGTTCTCAACTAAAAACAGAACTTGGGTAGCTCTCCTGAGTAGGTAGCTCCATTCTGGGTCTACCAGAGCTTGGAGCACAGCCAGGGTTTTAAATACGGCTTAGTGTCCATGTATCATTGCCTCAGCCAGTCCATTTTTTCTTGCTGTGAGGCCAACATCTGTTCTAACAGTCTTATGTGTTTCCACAGCCATTCAGACCAAGGTTTAAGCCTCACACCGTGTCTTTTGCTAACGGAGAAGATACAAACAGAGAATGTAGAGAGAGAATTTCATGAGACCATGAAAATGTGCAAACTGCATCTTGGGAAGGCGTAACCTGGGGTCTAATACCTGGATCTGAAGGCTTTCATGTTCAGTGTCTTTTGACGGGTGTTTTAAATTCTCTATTTACATCAAGAAGTGTTACATTACGAGACTAAAAGGTTTCTTCCTACTACTGGTGTAGATCGATCTTGTTTTCAAGAATGACGTTCCCTGCCTCAGCCTTGCAGTTTTGAGTTCCCTTTGTCAAAATCCCTTCCTTAGACTTCCTCTTGCTGAGACACCAACAATAGCTGGATTTTTAAATGATGCCTTGTCAGCGCCCCACAGCCACCTGTGAAAGTGCTGGCAAAGGGAGGAATACTGTCATTTTACACACAGGCAACCAAGAGCTGCAAAGAGTTAAGGGGGCAAGTGACCAGTTAGTGGTAGAACTAGAATTCAGAGCCAACCTTTCTAGCTCTCAAAAACCCATGCTCCTATTTTAAATAAAACCCCCAAGTGTACAAGCATGAGTGCTTTTCGTGGCAAAACAATTTTTTCACTTTTTCAAGAAATACACTTATTTAAACTTCTGGCTACTTCCTGTAAAAGAACTTTAATGAAATGTTAATATACTTATGTTCTTTTCTGGAATAGCTACAGAACTAGTTCTTGAGTAGGTTATTTGTGTTTTGTTTGACTTTTCCGTTGCTTGGGCAGGGCAAATTACTTTCATAAAATTAAGCAATAACTTAAGTGTATATTCACTCGAAAAGGGACAGTATACAGAAGTGAATCTCAACTCTAAATACCAAGTTTTAACAACTTCATTTGTCATTACAAAACCCCAATCTCCTAATAAGCATAGTGATTTAATGGCACATTTCTTCTCTAAGGCCAGAAATGAGTTTTAAGCCATCCTGATGTATTTTTTGCCCCAGAGAAGGAACTAATCCTTTCCTGTTACTATTTGGAAACTGGGAAGCTGCACCACAGTTCTTTATCTGTGATTTACCATAGCGATGTCTCAACCTTCGTGTGATGGCAGCCACACAGAGCCGTCTCTAGTATGGTATTCCTATCGGCTGCACCGAGAAGGGGCAGCAGCTTGTGTTCTCAAGTGGCCCTCTCTGCTCCTTGCTTGTCATCATTCTCTCTGTGGCCTTGCTCTGCTCATAGTGGTTCAACAGCATGCAGACGGCCTTTAATTAGTTTTCTTAAAAGAAGCATTGTTGACTAGGAAAGGCTGCTTGTATTTAAACTCTGCCCTTTGTGCAAATGCCAGACTTTCTCAATAGCATTTTAGAGGAAGTTTTCGGTTTTGAGCACAATTACTGAATCTGACCAGAATAGTCACAGCACCATCCATATTGCTCAATGCTAAGACACTGTGTCTTTGCTTTTCCATAAGTCATTGGTTGTTATCAAAGTTCTGCAACTTAAGTTCTCGATGGAACCACTTTCATAGCTACACATCCTAAAGTTCTTGCTTTCTTTTAAAGCAGGCCAGAGGGCCTGTGGAAAGAAAGTTTTGGAGACAAAGTTCCTGAGTTGTAGAAACCCTACCTGCTTCAGGAATCTGATTCCTCGTCCTCTTCCTCTTCCTCCTCCTCTTCGAGCACATGGCTCCTTGTGCTCAACTCCAGTGCAGTTTGGTTGATTGATGCTTCATTGTCTACATGCACCAGCATCTGCTTTAGGCAAAGACATTATCCATTAGGAGTAAAGACATTGGCATCAAACCAGCAAATTCTTAAATATGTTTTAAAATCAAATCTCAATTGCATATTCATCCCCAATATTTATCACCAGGAGGTAAGGCCACTTCCTATTTCTCCAATTTCTAACCTGACCCTCCTACCCATCTCATTGCCAAAATGGGAGGAGAGCGAATGCCCTAGATTTGATAGACTGCTACCTCATCTATAAACACGGTTCATGCATAAGAATTATGCTAGTCTAGATATGCTTTCAAATGGTTTCAGATGCCTTAAACACATTTGAGAAAAAAAATGCTCAAATATGGTAGATTTAGAATATTGTACTATTTTACTTGAGGGCTTGGAAAGAGGAGGAGATGTTGAGGACTGGAACTCACTGTTTAGCACTACACTTTGTAGTTGAAGCTACACTGTTCTCAAATCCCAGGCTTACTTATTCATGAAGCAGTGGAAATTTTGACAGATACTTGCAAAACTCTCCAACTCTCCCTGGGTTCACTGGATTAACTAGAGATCAGAGGACTAGGCAACTCAGCAGTACCTGACTAATAAATCAAAATGTGACCAGCTGGTAGAAGGATGGGTTGTTCCCAGTCTACAACAGTAATATGTAATAGCCAGTTTATTTAGAACATTCTAGCAATTCTCTGACTCCTTTGGGCTCAATAATGTAATTGACAAAATTTTTTTGGCCTCCAAGCAGCATGAGAGCAGAATGCACTTTGCATTCTCTCCCTAGCCCCACACTTGATTAAACTTACATCATGTGACTGTTCAGGTGCAGGTTGAGAAGAGAGCATCTCATCTCCTCTCCTTGAACTAATCATTGACTGGAGGGCTAGTTCTTCAACCTAGAAAAGAATTGAGAATACTTACTATTTGTTTTCTTTCTTTCTTTCTTTTTTTTTTTAAGATTTTATTTATTCATGAGAGAGAGAGAGGCAGAGACACAGGCAGAGGGAGAAGCAGGCTCCATGCAGGGGAGCCCGAGGTGGGATTTGATTCTGGGTCTCTGGGATCACAGCCTGACCCACCCAGGTGTCCCAATTTGCTTACTATTTCACTGGGCTACTGACATGGGTAAAATCTGTTGAGCATACTGTCAAAGGCTAGCACGACGACAAGTAAAACCAGTGTAACCTCTGTGCAGCTCTAAGAGGGAAGGGTGGGGCCCTTGACCTTTCCCCACATTTTAAGGAAATGAGCCCAAGAACACCTCCAGCCCCATTCCCCTGGATGTACAGGTGTTTCAGCTGAGCCAAGTGCGACCTTAAAGAAGCCAAGTGTCTTCTGATTCCACAGAAGGCAACTCCTTAGACTGCAGATTTCTAGCCGGTAATGAGAACGTGAAGGCGGGAAGAATGGGCAGGGCAAGTGTTTCCTGGAGCATAAAGGCTCCTGGGCTTTAGAGGCTGCCCTCATCATCACATACGGTGCACACCCACTCGGCACCTGAACAGGTACCACCAACAGAGGAACGGACGTGCGGGCCACTAAAGGGCACTTGGAGATGTCACAGCCATACAAGGCTTTCGGCTTACAAGGCGCCTTCATAAGCTGCATCTCGTTTGGACTTAAATGATCGGGTGCTGAGCAGCCCTTACGGGGACCGCCGCGCTGGGGCACCGACGCTCGTCCAGGCCGTGGAGTCTGACAGCTGCCCCCGAAGGAAAGCCACCGGGAACTCGGCGACGGCCCCCGCTCCGGCCCCCGCTCCGGGCCTCGCCGGCGTCCTTCGCACAGACCTACGAGCGCCGGGGAAGCGAGGGGACGGCGGCCAGCACGCGCTGCCGGAGCTCGGGGCGGCGCCCGGGGGCGGGGCGGCCCAGGCCGGCCGACGGAGGTCGCGCGGGCCACCCGCAGGCGCGGCCGTCGGGGTGCCACGCGGATCGCGGGGCCTCAGCCGAGCCCCGCGGGCTCCACCGCGCTCCCTAGGGACGTCTCCACCACCGACGCCTAGGGCTCGCGGGGCGGTCACCTTGAGCCGGTTCAGCTGGTCGTGCAGGGCCGCCTTCAGCCGGAGCAGCGTCTCCTCCTCCTTGCGCAGCTCCTGAAGCCGGCTCAGCATGGCGCCGCCTCCCGCCCGCCGTCGGCCCGGCGCTCGGGAGTGACGTCACGCCCCGCGCCCCGGAAGCCAAGCCGCGGGCGGGACGGGGCTGGCGTCACACGCGCCAGGGCGCTTCCGTCCGGCGCCCGCGGTCTCGCTCGCGGCTCGGCTCAGCCCAGCCCAATCCCGGGGTTGGAACCAGAGGAACCGGAGTCAAGGAACCGTCAGGAATCCCTAAAGCCCAGGGCGTGGGGCCGTAAGGAGCTTGGGAGGTTAGAACGGCCAAGTGCCGAGCTTCAAGTGCTTCTTTGGAACAGTGCTACCTGCGCTGCACTTTCGGGGTCGCATCCAGTGCGGACGGAGAGCGCACCTGAGGGCCGAGACCGAAACCCCGAGCATCTAGCACAGGGTTACGTGCCCTGTTCCGTTTTTGCAGCAAGGATTCCTGGTCCCATCGAAGTGGTTCCCAGGAGCAAAGTAGAGCCTGGTTTAGGGCTCTAATTAGGAAGATAAAGCCCTGTTAACATTAACAGTTGTTAATGTTGGGACCTGGTGCCTTCAAATATTAAGGGACGCAAATCTCTACTCCAAACCAGCTTCATCCCCCTGGATGTAGATGTTAAGTAGGTTGCCAAAGGAAACAAACCAGAGGCAAAGCATCTTGCCGGGACAAGATAGGTCAGGGTAGGTCAACCCCTAAGGTGAGGACATGCTGACGGAATGGGGTAGGAAAAAAACCTATCTTTTTGGATTGGCTTTTCCGTGCTCTATGTGGCCAACATATGCATCATATCCATTCCCTTACTAAAACTGCAAAAACCCAACTAGCTGAAACATGCTGGACACTTCCATGTCATAGGCCAAAATACCAAGGGATAGCATTTCCTCTAAGAAGTGTCCTCTGTCACAGCAGGTTTTAACAGGAATCTTCCTGAAGGAACCATGAATTTTTTGCAGTGCAATACATTCTGCCCTCTGTAAAAGAAAACAAAGTCCCCTTACCTTTCTCTTATTGAAGGTATGGTTTTTGAGGGAGGAGTGCTAAATCTTTTTTTATAAAACTAGAGCTTGGGGATCCCTGGGTGGTGTAGTGGTTTGGCGCCTGCCTTTGGCCCAGGGTGCAATCCTGGAGACCCGGGATCGAGTCCCACGTCGGGCTCCCAGTGCATGGAGCCTGCTTATGTCTCTGCCTTTCTCTATCATAAATAAAAAAATTAAAAAACAAAACTAGAGCTTACCAGTGAGCACATGGAGAGGGTCACGGGAGAACCCCAAGCTGACTCTCCCACTTAATAGACGCCAGAAGGAGCTCAATGCCACAATCCATAGGATCCAACTGAACCCAAAACTAAGAGTCTGTGCTCATCAACCCATTGAACCACCCAGGCCCTGGAAGAGCGCTAAATCTTGGCAGCTTCTGCATATTTGAGAGGAGTCTTTCAACTATCTGCTTCTCAAAACACTATTTTCAACTTGGCTTTTATATTTGGATTTATGCAACGTTCTTCCCATTCAACTGCATGGATTTACTATAAAGGCAAGGCCCTGTTTTATACCAGACTATAATAAAATGGAACCAAAGAGGCTGGAATTATGTGGAACAACAAAAAACCCACAAAATTCTACCCATGATTCACAAACACATTCAACAAGTTATGTTTCTCACTGTCTTTGATCAGGTCTTTATTTAAAATTAGCTGTCCAAAATGATTGAGTTTTATGGAATAAACAAATATAAGTTTTTAGGCAGCGGGCTTCTTCTCTTCTGTGGTAGGTTTCTTGTCAGCTGCTGGTTTCTTGTCAGCTGCTGGTTTCTTGGTAGCTGCAGCCTTTTTTCCAACCACAGGTTTCTTCAGCTTTTTCACACCAACAGCTTTCTTTCCTTTCTTCCCTACCGTGGGCTTCTTGCCTGGAACCCCCTTCTCCTCCGATTTGGCTTCTAAGGCTGCTGCCGCCTTATCCATCCGGAGTTTGTGCTGCAACAAACAAACAAACAAAGACCTTAAGAATTGCATCTTTAAAAAAAAAAAGTTAACGTTTCAGCAAAAACCTATCACTTACATTCTTGGCCTGGCGAAGAATGGTGTTCCGGCGCATGGTCTTTGCATACGGGTTTAGCTTCAACATGATTCTTAGGTTCTTCAGTGGATTCTTCTTCAGGACTCTACGATGAATCTTCTTGCTGTAAAAAGGCAGACATTTTATTTTACTCACATTATCCACATTTTTTGAAATAACCAATACAGTACGAGGCTGGAGCATAATAAAGTATCACAACTTTACCGTGGTGCTCGGAGGGCTCTTTGGATCTCTGGGCTTTTCAAGATTCTGCTGAGGTCTGTATTAAGCATCTTATGCATGGGAAGACTGAAAAGAAAAACATGCTGACAATAAGATGCTCAATTCCTACTTCTCACTATCCACTGAAACTCTCCCAAGTGTTCCATCAGAATTTCCACTACACTATCACTGTTCAGAATATCTCATCATTTCACAGTATTCAATCTGTATGTAAGAGAAAATGGCAACACATTATCCATCACCCATAAACCAATTCTGATTCTGAATATAAATATCCACAGCGTGAACATCTGTGTTCAATATATGAACATCAAGAACACTCACTTGTAGTTACTCTTGAGGGAGGCAGCCTTACGCCAAGTGCCATACAGATCGTCTAACTTGCGGAAAGCACTTTCAGTCCAAATGCAGAAACGTCCCACATGCCCACCAGGAGCAAGTTTCAGAATGTTCAGCTTGCTTACATTAAGTAAAGTAATTCCTTTAGAAGGGAAGAGAGAATTAGGGAGCCTGTATTTTAAATACAAGAAACATACCACGCTTATGACTTATGTGCTACCTAAGGTACCCGAGAAATATTAGTTTCTATGTTACTACTAATTAAGTTATGTTACTTATGTTAGGAAGTTTGTATATGGTACTAATTAAGTAGTTCCAACCATCAATGTGCTCATTCAGCTGAGAATCAGAAGTTCCACAAAATCATGTGTTTCAGAAACACGGACCATGAAGTGGAATTTCATCACATAAAAAGCTGAGTAAGCTTGCAGAGTACAGGCAATCAAAACATGTATCAACAGTACAATTACCAGGGATGTTTCTGAAGGCCTTGATGATACCGTTGTCTTCATTGTAGATGATACAGGGTCCCCTGCGCTGGATACGACGACGGTTTCTCATTTTGCCTTTGCCAGCTCTCATTCGCTGAGAGGCATAGACCTAAAGAGCGAGAGAATATTTATGATGAAAAGGAGCCATAACAATTGTCCAACATTAACACACAAAGTGGTTAACAGCAGTCAGGATTCAAACCCGAGGTGTAAGGTTTCAGAGTCCCTGTTCTCATATCCACTGAAGTCACACTGCCCTCCAGTCATCTTTTGACATTAAAATCTGACAACAAATTTATGTTAAGGACCATGAAAATGGAAATCTGTTCATTAAGCCTACCTTTTTGATATCATTCCAGGCTTTAAGTTTCTTAAGAAGCAAAACCGCCTCCTTGGTCTTCTTGTAGCCTTCAACTTTATCTTCAACCACCAAAGGAAGTTCAGGAACTTCCTCAATACGGTGACCTGACGATGCCAATCAACAAATATCAACAAATACCTCATTACCCCAAATCTTTTGAAAAACCTACAAACATTTCATATAATCCACAAAAGCAAAATAGCATATTATGTGCCAAATCAGATTTCCACAAATATCATGTGTTTCAGAAACACGGACCAATTTAAGTGGAATCTCATCATTTTGACAGTTTACGAAATAAGCAATATGAAGTTTAAGTGGCAAGTGTTCTATTACATAAAATCACATTTCACTTAGCTCCCCAGTTACACAGTATTTATTGATTAGAACTATTACTTAATAGAAATTTAGTCAGGGACTCTGGGATGAATAGAATGCATACAGGTTACTGTTAACGTGAATGAAACGGGTTGGGTGGAAGAAAAAAAGGCTATCCTTGTATCATTTCTGTAATAATAGAATATACAAACCTTTAGACATGACCAGTGCTGGTAAGGCTGAGGCAGCCAGGGCAGAGCAGATGGCGTATCGCTTTTGTGTTGTATTCACTCTGCGGTGCCAACGGCGCCAGGTTTTGGTTGGTGCAAACATGCGGCCTCCACGACACATCTATTTTCGCAGTTAAGAATCACATTTCGCAAAATTTTAGGAATTAAAAAAGGTTGGGTCTTGCTCAGTAAGAATTTTCGCCACCCTTCTGAACCAGCTTACTGACAGCAGGCAACTGTCGCCGAGAACAGAGTAAGACGCAAATTACGACATCATTGCAAGCAGAACTTCCTAATGCCAAGCTCCGAACTGCCTAGAACAATGTTTAACCTGGACACTTAGTATGTTGGTTATTTTCATAACTAACATGAATAAACTTGGTCCAGTCTCGTAAATGCCTTAAGAGCTGACCAATCTATACAATAAAACAAAGGATACATTTCCAAAAGCACCCTGGCCAGAACGGTGAGTCCCACCGCCTCGAACTCGGGGAATTCGAGCCACGGCTCTGCCAGTACCCCAAGACTCAGCACTGGTTTGATGACCTGAAGTTGGGAAGAAATACAAGTTTTAGCTACTCAACCACACCCATCCAGGACTATCACGCATAGCAGCAACAGCCTCAGAACATCCAGGAAAATCATGTAGTTCAGAAACACGGACCAATGGAGTGGAATTTCATCACTGCTGTTAAGTGGGTCTTCAAAGTATCAACCCTTGAAAAACCCGTACCTGCTAATTCACTGACAGCATATGGCTGCCTGTTGTTTTTGCGCAAGTTGGTGTGAACAAAGTTCACGATATCGGGTCGAATGGGAGCCTTAAACACAGCAGGCAAGGTAACATTTTTGCCGGATGATTCCCCCTTTTCGGAGTACACAGATATCAACGGGCGAGCACACGCCTGCAAAAAGGAAAAGATAATTTATATGGACAATGCCAGAGGCACTCATCTCGCATATCAACAGTATCCTTAAAAACCGCATTACAGAACAGATTGGTTTGGAACGGAAAACAACACTTAGAACTAAAACAAAGGTTGAGACCAACACATCAAGTCTATTAAGTTCAATAAATTCTAAAACTTACAGGACATTTAGCTTCTCAAACTCTACCGCATAATTTGTTAAACTTTCAAACCACAGCTTACAAAAGCAAACGATCAAATGCATACTGTAAGATTTGAAAAGGCTATTTAAGGCCACCACCTAAACTCTCTTGCCCAGTGTCCCCAGATCCGGGAGACCACAGACTCTACCTCAGATTCCTGCCCCTGGCCCCCTTCAACCTGAACACACCTCAAATTACCGGTCATGTTACTTTTTGCTGAACCTTCTCCAAAGATTTACCACCTGAAGGTAAAACTCAAGTTCCAAGAATGGCCTACACCACCTGCTGGACCCTTCATCTCCCTCTCTTTTCTAACCATCACTGTCCCTACACTCAGGGCCACTCCCCTTCTGCCTCAAACACACTGGTCTCCATCCTGAAGCTGCTCAACATGCTTCACCACGCTCCTTCAAGCCATGTTCTCGGACGTTTCTCTGATCACTTTAAAGCTCAACTACTGCCTCCTCTCCCATCCCCCGGGGTCCACAGCACTTACCATCCTCTGGCATTTTGGTGTTATTTGTTCAAACTACCATCCAAGCATCACAGGGATGGATGGTTTTATTTTTTTTCACCGAACTCCCCAGAGCACAAGACACTACATAACACGCAGTGAAAAAAGCAGCGCACGGGACATCAGTCCTATTATGGACTAAGAATTCAAAGGACACAAAACAGGACAACTTTTAAAATAAGAGAATCGTAATGATTTCCAGAGAGGATTAAGATAAACACAAACGATAAAAAAATAAAAAAGATAAACACAAACGAAAATTTAAAAAAAAAAGTGGATATGCAAGTCCCTCACAAAAATCACTGAAGGTGAAAATAATTATTCAACAGGACGTGAAACTAAAAGGCCCCCAAATGGATTTTCACGGATTCAGTCTTAGGCCCCGTGAGTTTCCAAAATTTTCAGGAGAACCGACGCCTTCTACGATCCAGGGAAAACTGGAATCCCGAAAGTTCCCATGCACCTCAGAAGCCGGGACGCCCACGTTGCCTCTAAGATGGCTGCCTAAGAGCCGCGCTCCCCAGCTCCGAGCTGCAGATGCCTTTGGCCCTCATCTTCTTTTCCTCGCCTCCTCTCCTGAAGATTCTACGCCCCGAGCCCCGAATCCATTCCTGCCGGGTCCCGAGAAAGGGGGGGGGGGGAGCCCACCAGAAAGAACTTCCACTCACCATCGCGGGGAGAGGAGAGGGCCACGCTCCTCTCAACCCGGCGGCTCCTCCAGGAAAAGGAAGTGCCTGGCACTTCCGCCGCATATGTAACCATCGACGCTTCCGCCAACCCGTCCGCCTCAGAACCACGCCACAGGCACAACATATCACCCTACCACCCTATAAAAAAATAACAAATAGCGTGTTATATCTTCGTTTACATCAATTTACCGTATCCACTGACTTTCAAAGACAACAACAGCGCTTAGAAACAAGGGACTCCTTTTCGCGGAATAATCCATAAGGAGGCGTGGTAACTCTCGCGAGACTAAGTGTCTCCTCCCCCCTCCTTCCCGCTTTCCGTCTCCCCTCCCCCTTCAACCTCTGCAATTTATTTTAGCTTTTTCTTGCGGGAATGGAAAGCTGCCGGGACAGGAAAAAAAAAGAAAGTGTGCTCTACAACAAAAGATTAACTTTGTGGACAAACGGGGCCTATCAGGAGTGCGGGGTGGGTGGGGGGGAAGTAGTCCCGGCGAGGGGGTCATGACCCCGGACGTCAGCGTCCGGCGCGCAGTTCGGTTTGGCGGCTTAGGATTTGGAGTGCGAGCCGGCTGCGATGTGGTCGCGGGTGAACCGAGCTGCTGAGGAGTTTTACTGTCGTCTCCTGCAGTGAGTTGTAGCGGGAGCTGTGGCCTGGGGTGCGAGGGCGGTGCTTGCCCCGGGCGTAGGTCTCGGTGCTGCCCCGTGGATCGGCGTCCCGTCGGGCCTCGGGGGCGCCCAAGTTACAGACCAGGGCGGCTCTCCTGGGGCCTGGAGTCGGGGAACGGCCGGGCGTCGGCTCCACGGTGCGCTTGGCTCCGTAGGAGGAAGCGACTGCACGTTGTCGGTCGGGGTGCAGGGTGACGAGTTTCTCGGGAGGCGCTTTATGGCGGTGATGCGTGGACCTCAGCCTCTCAGGGTATGGAGAACTAGACGTCGGCGTCCTTCATCTGTTTAAAGCCTTTCCGGTGTGAGACGTGACGATGTCCGTTCAGGACAGTTACTCGTGCTACAGGTGTAATAATAAGAGTGTGTCGGTGTCGTCGTTGTTGAGGGTTTTATTGATTTACTCACGAGAGACACAGAGAGAGGGGCAGAGGGAGAAGCAGGCTCCCCGCAGAATTCGATCTCAGGACCCCGGGATCAAGCCCAGGGCAGAAGGCAGATGCTCAACCGCTGAGCCCACCCGGACATCCGGGTTTTCTTTTCTTTTTTTTCTTTTTTTAAATGCTTTTATTTCACTGTGCTCTGAGATTTGATTGTTAAAGTGAAGTGCTTATACAAAAGGGGATTCCATCTAGTTCTGCATCCAACTTTAAAAAATAATCCAGTAGCTGTCAAAAAAAAAAAAAGAAAAAAAGAAATCTAATCCAGGCCCGCCTGGGTGGCTCAGCGGTTGAGCGTCTGACTTTGGCTGAAGGGTGTGATCCCTGAGTCCCAGGATCGAGTCCCACGTCCGGCTCCCTGCATGGAGCCTGCTTCTCCCTCTGCCTGTGTCTCTGCCTGCGTCTCTGCCTCTCTCTCTCTCTGTGTCTCTCATGAATAAGTAAATAAAATCTTAAACAAAAATAAAGTCTAATCCAGCAGTTCTCAAATTTGAGCTTGCATCATCAATCACCTGGAGGGTTGTCAAAACAGATTTCTTGGCCCCACCTCCAGGGTTTCTGATTTAGTGAATAAGTCTTCGCTGGCGTGGAGCGGTGTCAAAGAATTCCAACTATTTCCAGGTGAAACCTGCTGGTGGCCTGACACCGCACTTTGAGAACCTCTGATGTAATGAAACCGCTTATTTTCTAAATGCCATAATTTTTCATTATTTACTGCTTTTTTCCTGTCTACAAAGGTAGTAATGCTTGCCAAGTTTTTGAACATTATAAACCGACACTAGGTTGTTATTTTTTTAAATAATGTTTTGGATGGCTTTCAATATGACACCCTGTAGATCTGTCTCATTGGTTTTTTTTTTTTTGAAGATTTTATTTATTCATGAGAGACACACACAGAGAGAGAGCGAGAGCGAGAGAGAGAGAGGCAGAGACACAGGCAGGCAGAAGCAGGCTCCATGCAGGAGCTTGATATGGAACTCAATCCAGGGACCCTCCGGATCATGCCCTGGGCCAGAGGCGGGTGCTCAACCACTGAGCCACCCACAGATCCCGGCCTCATTGTTTTTAACTGATGTGTAGTATTTCATTCTATACCTGTCCAATGTTTTTTTTAACGAGTTGCCCAGTGATACAGTTTTATTTAGACTCTTTATAGTTCCCAGTTGTTTCACAGAGGTTAGTCTTTTTCTCTACTTGGAAGCTACAAGTCTCCTTTGCTTGTCTTGAGTTCTTCACAATGCCTGTGCATCCAGTTGCTTACTGGAAATTTCTGCAAGACCTCAAATTCAATATCTGCAAAACCAAATTCATCTTTTCCCAGCAACCTGTCACTCCTGAATTTCCTGGCACACCTGGTGTGCGTGTTTTCCCTCTATCTCTACTGCTTTTGTTCACTTATTCACAGTTAATTTCCTGGTCTCCAATAAATAAAATCTTAAAAAAAAAAAAGAATAAATCCATCTTATCCAAAATAGCAAAAGTGAATCATTCACAGACCTAGTTCTCCTCCTTTTATTTCAGTAAGTCAGAGTAGATCAAATAGTAAATGGTACCCTGAAACAATTCCATTGGGCTTCTTTTAGGCTTCTAAAGATTTTGTCTCTTTCAAAGTGTAGATCAAACTGATGTACATTTGATACGTTTAATGGTTCATAGTTTACGTGCTTTGGGATGACTGTTTTAGAACTTCCTTGAATGAAGTTACTAGTAAATGATAATCCGAGAGTTTTGTGCTTATATTTTTATGTTTTTAGTGACAGTTCACAAAAATAGAGGGAGGATGGATGTTTGAATTCAGCCATAGAAATCTGGGTCTAGTCAGGTGGCTCAGTGGTTTAGTGCCGCCTTCAGCCCAGGGCCTGATCCTGGACACCCAGGATCGAGTCCCACGTCAGGCTCCCTGCATGGAGCCTGCTTCTCCCTCTGCCTGTGTTGTGTCTCTGCCTCTCTCTCTCTCTCTCTGTGTGTCTCTCATGAATAAATAAATAAAGTCTTAAAAAAAAAAACTGGGGGCTAGGAACTTTAAATAACTTTTCTGTGGTTACCCACTGATTCAGTAGGCAGGTCAGAATCCAGTGATTTTTACTTCCTGTAGATTATGTGGTAAATTACATTTTAATAGTAGCTGATGGTGTGTTTTAGAAGATAAGAGAGTAGAGATGGGTAACCTGATTTCCTGTTGCCTCTGTAAAGCTGTTGTGCCCAGTTGTGGGCAGCAGTCTATTAATTTCTACCTCATCTCTTTTTTTCTCATATTCTTTTTCTACCTTTTTTTCCCTCTTCCCAACTATGCCATACGGCTGCCATGAGTACCTTTGCACTTTGCTTTTCTCACTGGTGTCCTGCAGAGATAGAGATGACTAACTTCTGACTTTAAATGTCAGAATATTGTAGCTCTGTTTTTCACATTTAGTTCTGCATTTCAGGGAATTTGATGAAGAAAAGAAAGGAATCCATAATGATCCATTTATCTATGAGGTATGAACAATTTATTTTGTTTTTAAACACAACTCAGTAATCCTAACATTCTGCTTTTTTAAACGTTGGGTTCATTGAAGTTAGAGTAAATCCTACCCTTTTAGAGTACAGTTCTATGAGTTTTTACAAATGCGTTCGGTCATATAGCTACCCTGTAATCAAGATGTAGAACATTTCTGTCACTTCCAAAGGTCTCATGTCCCTTTATAATCAGTCTTTTGTCCCTGGCCTTTTCCAGAATGTCATATAAATAAAATCACACAGTATGTAGTCTTTTGAATCTGACTTCTATCAAGGAATGCAATGCATTTGAGATTCGTCTACATTTTGTGTGTGTCAGTAGTTCGTTCCTTTTTATAGTTGAATAGTATCTCATTGTATGTGTGTGTGACAGTTATCCACTAACCAGCTGATGGATCTTGGGTGGTTTCCAGTTTTGGGTAGTTATGAGTAAAACTGCTATAAATATTCATGGATTTATTAAGCAGCTAATATATGCCAAGTGTTCCATAGATAAAGTCCCTATGAGGTTTAATCTATAAAATAATTAGTGAACTAAAATTAATTATATGCTAAAAGACAAACTGGAGAGAAAGTTATATAAAATAAGTTAAAATAATACATAATTAGTTCATAATACATGAAAAGTTCTTAAAAATCCATAAGAAAAGTGACAGCTGTAATAGAAGAATAAACAAAGGAACAAGTAAGCCCAGAAAGAAAATTACAAGTAGAATTATTTCTTACAGTTTGAATTTTCACTAACCGGACTCAGGAATTAAGCTTATCTAGGTAAATGTATTAATTCCTCCCCATTGGAATGTTTGCTTGATACTATATTAGTTTACTAGGGCTGCTGTAACTACAAACTGGTTTGCTTAAAACATCAAAAATTTATTCTGTTGCAGTTCTGGAGACTAGGACTCTGAAATGTCCTAGTGAAGTGTCAAGAAGGCTACTCTCCTACTGAAAACTCTAGGAAAGGATCTTTCATTGGTTCTCCTAGTTTCTGGTGGTTTCCAACAATTCTTGGGGTTTCTTGGCTTGTAGATACATCACTCTAATTTCTGCCACTGTCAATACATAGAATCCCTTTGTGTCTATGTCTCTAAGTCTTTCCCTCCTTATGTCAGTCATTAGATTTAAAGCCCTCCAATCCAAGTCAATCCTCAACTTGATTACATTTGCCAAGACCCTTTTTCTAAGATCACATTCAGAGGAACTAGGGGTTAGAACTTCATTGTATCTTTTGGAGGGATATATTCAATCCACAACAGACTTGAAACTCAAGAACCTAGTAGATGAGAATGACAGCATCCTTTGCCCTCTGAACTTGGTATCTAAATACTTCAGGATCCAAACTGAGAAACGAAACGGGTTCAAGTAATGAGAGTTATTTGTCAATAATAAGCCTATGAAAGACTGAAGTCACCTTCATTAGTAATCAAAAAAATGAAAAAAAAACAGTAACAAGCATGACACTTTTTGCTGTGAGATGGCAAAAATAAACTGAAAATACTCTGTTGCCATAAGTGACAGCAATGCATATATGTGGGGGTGGCATATTCACAAGGCAATTTGACATTATCAGCATGATTCTAGGTATTCGTCTTAAGAAGGTAACTCAAGGACATCTATTATTAGTTGTTTATTATAGCAAATAACTTAAAATTATCCAAATGTTGAACAAAATGGGATTAGTTATATGATGGCAGAGCCAAAGAACACCTAATGGATGGAAAGAAGTGTATGATACAGATGTGGTATTTTTCTTAAGCAAAATCCTATCTAGATATCTAAATACTGAATACATTTCTACTTAAGTAGATTTATTTACGTGTCTGGTAAAAGATCTGATAAAATATATGCTAACCAGGCTAATAATAGTAGTGATTATCTTGACTAGTAGAATTATATGTGAGTTTTTAAAAAATGACTTAGCTATCTATTTTCAGACTTTTCTATAATAAACATGTTTGCAATTGGAATGAAAAAATGTACAGTTCCTAGAAATGCCTAAAAGTTCTAACTTGCATAGTACAATCAGGAGAAAAGATCATTTATTAAGTGCTAATTATATAGTACATTAGAGTAAATACAGTATGAGTCAAGAAAGAGGATGTCCATGTGATTCTAATCAAGAGAAAGGCTCTACATGTTGGAGTGCACTTTAGGTAACCCTTGAAGCATGTGTAGAGGTGAATAGAGCTAGGTTTGTCCAAACATGAAAAAACAACATGGCAAAGAATAAATGAAATCTCATCTTTAGAGCATTATGTCTTGTTCAAATTCTCTTTTTCCATCACTTGCGTAAAACTAGTCTTTATGTGTTTAAATATTTGTACCTATATATGTGTGTATATATAACATTGCTTGACGTTCTCTATTTTTAATAGGCTGATGTTCAAGTGCAGTTGATCAGCAAAGGCCAACCTAACCCTTTGAAAAATATCTTAGATGAAAATGACGTAGTATTCATCGTGGAGAAATTGGTAGGTAGTGCGTGAGCTTTGCTCTCGTTTAATTTTTTTGTTGTTGTTTTAAGATTTTATTTTTAATCTCTACCCTCAGTGTGGGGCTCGAACTTACAACCCTAAGTTCAAGAGTTGTATGGTCCACCAACTGAGCCAGCTAGGCACCTTTGTGTTTAATTCCAGGTAGCCAAATTCAGTTTATTGGGAATGATCTCAAATGTACACATTTATTTTTATCAGCATATTAGTGAAAGTGGATTCTAAGTCTTTTAGAAATACAATAATGTCCAATAGAAATATAATGAAAACTATAGGTAATTTAAAATTTTATAGTAACCATTATATAAAAAGGGAAATTATACAGTAAAATTGACTTTTTTTTCTTTTGTTGTCCACTTCTTTGAATTTTAGCACATGTATAGATTCTGGTAATCACCACATGGTCAGGGCACCAAACAGGTCCATCACCTCAAACAACTCCCTCATGCTATCTCCCTTTAAAATCTCTTCTCCCTGGTAACTGCTGATCTCTTCTCCCTTCGTGTAGTGAGAATGCTGTGAATGGCATTGTACAGTCTAACCTTTTGAGTCTGGCTTCTTTCACTCCATATAATGCCTTTGAGATTCATCCAAGTTGTATGTGTATCAGTGGTTCATTTCTTGTAATTGCTGAGTAGATTCTGTGGTATGGATGTACCATAGTTTATTTATCTAGTCACCTTTTTTTTTTTTTCTAGTCACCCTTTCAATGACATTTGGGTTCTTTTCCATCTCCAGTGATCATGAATAGAGTTGCTGTGATCATTTTTGTACAGATTTTTGCATGAGCATGTTTTTTCGTTATGGTAAATACTGAGGAGTAGGATTGTCTGAAATTAGGTTTAATAATGCTTATTATTTAGTCTGATGTATGTGATAATACCATTTCAATGTGTAGTTAACATAAAAATCATTAATGAGATATTTCAAGGTTTTTTTTTTCATACTGCATCTTCAAAATCTAGTGTGTATTTTACAGTTTCATCTCCATTTGATCTGGCCCAGTTTCCAGTACTCAATAGGTGCATGTGGCCAGTGGCTGTTGTATTGAAGAGCACAGCAAAAGTAGCTATGATTCATGAAGTTCTACTCTAATTTTTGTTAAACGTAACAGAAAACTTCTTATCTTTTGCATCACTTTATAATTCCAGCGTGAAACTTTTGTGTGTATGTGTGTGTTTTTAAATATTTATTTATTTGAGAGGAAGAGAGTACAGAGGGAGAGGGAGAAGCAGGCTCCCCGCTGAGCAGGGAGCCTGATGCGGGATTCAATCCCAGGACCTTGGGATCATGACCCGAGCCGAAAGCAGACACTCAACTGACCAAGCCACTCAGGCACCTCTCTTTGTGTTTTAATTATGGTGTTTTGGCAGAGAAATTACAGTGATTTTTATTTATTCATGGGAGACACAGAGAGAGGCAGAGACATAGGTAGAGGGAGAAGCAGGCTCCTCACAGGGATCCTGATGTGGGACTTGATCCCTAAACTGAGCCAAAGGCAGATGTGCAACCACTGAGCCACCTAGGGGTTGTGGAGGTACTTTTAGAAGGAACTATTTTGTTTGCTTGAAGATCTTCATGCTGTCTGGTGGATGAACAAGGAGCTTTTCATTTTAATGCATAAAAAGCTACTTTGTCTTTTATGTTAACGAAAGAGTGTTATTACGGCCTATCTCAAGTGGACAGATGCTTAGGGAATAATTACAGGTGAATTACGTGGTTGAATTTAGACTTTTGTTATAGGGAGAAGGGAAAATGTATGTAGAGCAAAAGCTGAAAAGATTGAGATGTTCAGATGAAGATGAGTCACATTGGAAAAGATAAGGATGAGCCAAGGGGGAATGTGGTAATGTGGATTAGGTTTCTAGTGAGGATGCAGCCTGCAATTGTGAGAAGGTCTCTGGTACTAACTGGGGCCCTGGCATTTTTGAACAAGGAGCAGAGGGACCGTATTTGGAAAGCTAGGTCTAGAAGGAAATGAGATCTGTGATCTGGCAAAAGAAATTCAAAGTTGAGACTTTCTGATCCTGGACGCCACCCAGTAAGTATCATTAATGCCCTCCCACCGCTGTCATGTCTAAGTCAGTCTTCCAAAGAGCCTGAGCAGCTGCAGAAGCTCTTCGTTGGAGGTTTGAGCTTTGAAACAACTGATGAAAGTCTGAGGAGCCATTTTGAGCAGTTGGGGGAACCCTTACAGACTGTGTGGTAATGAGAGATCCAAACACACCAAGTGCTCCAGAGGCTTTGGGTTTGTCACGTATGCCACTGTGGAGGAGGTGGATGCAGCCATGAATGCAAGGCCACACAAGGTGGATGGAAGAGTTGTGGAACCAAAGAGGGCTGTCTCAAGAGAAGATTCTCAAAGACTTGATGCCCACTTAACTGTGAAAAAGATTTTTGTAGGTGGCATTAAAGAAGACACTGAAGATCATCTAAGAGATTATTTTGAAAGTATGGGAAAATTGAAGTGATTGAGATCATGACTGACCAAGGCAGTGGCAAAAAGAGAGGTTTTACTTTTGTGACATTTGATGACCATGACTCTGTAGACAAGATTGCAAGATTATCATTCAAAAATACCATACTGTGAATGGCCACAACTGTGAAGTAAGGAAAGCCCTATCGAAGCAAGAGATGGCTAGTGCTTCGTCCAGCCAGAGTCCAAAGTGGTTCTGGAAACTTTGGTGGTGGTCGTGGAGGGAACTCAGTGGTCGAGGCGGCTTCAGTGGCAGTCGAGGTGGTGGTGGATATGGTGGCAGTGGGGATGGCTGTAGTGGATTTGGTAATGATGGAAGCAACTTTGGAGGGTGGCAGAAGCTATAACGATTTTGGCAATTACAACAATCAATCTTCAAATTTTGGACCTATAAAAGGAGGAAATTTTGGAGGCAAAAGCTCTGGTCCCTGTGGTGGTGGAGGCCAGTACCTCGCCAAACCACAAAACCAAGGTGGCTATGGTGGTTCCAGCAGCAGCAGCAGCTGTGGCAGTGGCAGAAGGTGTTAATTACTTCTAGGAAACAAAGATTAGCAGGAGGAGAGCCAGAGAAGTGACAGGGAAGCTACAGGTTACAACAGATTTGTGAACTCAGCCAAGCACACTGGTGGCAGGGCCTAGGTGCTACAAAGAAGACATGTTTTAGATAATACTCATGTGTATGGGCAAAAAACTTGAGGACTGTATTTGTGACTAATTGTATAACAGGCTATTTTAGTTTCTGTTCTGTGGAAAGTGTAAAGCATTCCAACAAAGGGTTTTAATGTAATGGTGTGGTTTTGTTTTGTTTTGTTTTTTTGCACCCATGCTGTTAATTGCTAAATGTAATAGTCTGATCATGATGCTGAATAAATGTGTCTTTAAAAAAAAAACCAAATTCAAAGTTGAGGAAATATCTGGGTCTGATACCTATTAAACAAGCAGAGTATTTATTGCCCAAAGAGCTTGATGAATATGATCCCGAGTTTTGAAGTCAGACTGCTTAGATTCAAATGTGGTTGCCAGTCACTGGCTGTAATTCTAGGTGAGTTATTTAGCCGTTTGCTACCTCAATTTTCCCATCTATAAAACAGTTAATGAGACACCTGGGTGGCTCAGTCGATAAAGGGTTTGACTCTTGGTTTTGGCTTGGATCATGATCTTGAGGTCATTAGATGGAGCCCAGTTGGGCTCCATGCGCAGCATGAATCTGCTTGAGATTCTCTCTCTCCCTCTGCCCCTCCCCAAAATGAATAAATATATCTTTTTAAAAAGAGTTAATGATAGTATCTATTTCCAGGTTTGTTTGTTTTTTAATACTTTATTTATTTATTCATAAATAACACAGAGACACAGAGAGAGAGGCAGAGACATAGGCAGAGGGAGAAGCAGACTCCATGCAGGGAGCCTGATGTGGGACTTGATCCCAGGTCTCCCGGATTACAGCCCGGGCTCAAGACGGTGCTAAACCACTGGGCCACCCGGGCTGCCCTATTTCAAGGTTTTTATAAAAAGTAACAGAACATTAAGGACGGCATGTGATGTTATGAGTATGGGGTGTTATATAAGACTGATGAATCACTGAGCTCTACCTCTGAAACCAATAATACATTTTATGTTAATTAATTGAATTTAAATAAAATTTAAAAAAAAGAAAAGTAATAGAAAACTTAGAACAGTAGCTGTTACGTAGTAATACTTAGGAAATGTTAACTCTTGGGGTTATTATTATTGGCAGGGCTAAACTGTGTAACTACTTAAACATGTAGATATTAAAAACACAGATTTCAGAACCCTGTGACAACTGAGAGCTGCTAGTCCTAAGAGGAGTAGGTTTAAGGAGTAAGGGAGGTGGCCCTTTGAGTTTTGGGAGTGAAAATCAGGAGTGTCCCATGGGTTTCTTGGTGTTTTGTCTTTGGTTCATCATTTTATACATGTTGGAGCACTTCCTTTTCTAATGGCATCAGATACTTCCTTTATCAGTAGCAACTTAGATCGGTATCTTTTAATAGGACAGTGGAAATGCTTCTGATGGCAGGATTTGTTGGTACCAAGCTGGTTTGTAGCTGTGATTCTTGACATCACCTACATATTTGTGCTTAAGGATTTGGAAGCCAGGATTTGTTATGGCCTAGCAGAGTGAAAAATTGACTTGTGAGTATTCTTTTTTACCTGACTATATAATTAAAAATTATTTTTTAAGCCTTTAGAGAAGGAAGAAACAAGTCATGTCGAAGAACCACAATGTGAAGAAACTGCTATTTCTGATCTCTCTACTGGGGAGAATGTTGGACCACTTGCTTTACCAGTGGGGAGAGCAAGGTAAATTTTTCATTGGGTCGGGATAGGAGTAGGGCTGGAGGCTAAATGGAAGCTCCATTTAAATAAAAATGTTTTTACAGGGCACCTGGGTGGCTCTGGTTGAGCATCTGCCTTTGGCTCAGGTTGTGATCCTGGGGTCCTAGGATTGAGTCTTGCATTGGGCTCCCCACAGGGGGCCTGCTTCTCCCTCTGCCTCTGCCTCTCTCTGTGTGTCTTTCATAGGTAAACAAAATCTTAAAATTAAAAAAAAAAAGTTTTTGCAAATGTTTCCCAGTTTTACAAACACTGGGGGAAAAAAAGATGTATTCAGTCCAGGTCCTTTCTTCCCCCTCTCCTTAGCCATGTATACCCAACTTTTCCAGGGGTAGGTGTCCCAAGCATGACTAGGAAGACTGCCGTGGTCTCTTCCTCCATTCCCCATACTGTGTGTTCTTACTTCTTAATTGTTCTCTTTGTATTCTGTTCCCTTCCAGTCTTTCATTCTCGCTGCTGCCAGAGATCTTTATAAATCACTGAAAGCCTGATTGTATTGCTTCCTTGCTTAAAATCCTTCTTGTTGCCTCATGATAAAATCCAAATTTCTCATGGGTAACACATAGGACCCTTACATCATGCAGTCCAGAGGTCCTCCAGCAAGGTTGCCATACCCAGTGGGCATCTGGAAATGTGCAGGGGTACTTTTTGGTGGTTACAGTGACTGAGAAGCAGTTAGCCTGGGTGGTGGATAGTAAACGTCCTGTGGTGCACCAGGCTCTCCTGCACACAGAGGAATTACCCCACTCAAATGCTAGTAGTGCCCCTGTTAGAAATCCTGCTGCCCTGTCTGCCTGGCTGGCTTCACTTCCCGCCTCCCTACCATGTAGCTACGTGCACTTCTTCCTCTGCCTGACTCACCTCCAGAACCAGGGCTCTTGCTGACAAGGAGTTCTGGAGGATAAAGTCCTCTAAACAATAACATTAGACAGTAAGGACTGTAATAATAATATTCACAGACGGACTACATGGTGGTTTTTGTTGGTTTTGCTAGGTAGAAACTTTTAACATTTATGTGGTTAATCAGTCTTTTATGACTTCTCGATTTTAAGTCATGTTGGCCTGTTTTCTTTTCTCCCCCACAACTTAAACATTATTTATTGGTGGTGTTTTCTCCAGCTAGTGTTTGTTTGGATTTGTCCATATGCTTATCATTGCCTTGCTTTGCATTTCAGACCTTCCTTTTGGGATTATTGTATTTCCTTTCTGAAGTACAATCCCTTAGAAATCCCTTTGTTGAACATCTGTTGATCATAAATTTTCATCTCTTTGAAAAATTTCAAGCTACATTTTTGGGTAACTTTTAATTTTGATACACTTGCAAATTTATAGAAAAGCTGAAAAATAGCACAGGAACTTCTGTACACCCTTAACCCAGATTCAGCAGTTATTTACATTTTGCCTCATCTGCTTTGTCCTTCTCTCTCACTCCTCCTTCTAGCCCTCTCCCACTCTGCCACCTGTGTAACGTACTCTATCACCCACACACCTTTTTTTTTTTTTTTTAAAGATTTTATTTATTTATTTTTTATGAGAAACAGAGAGGCAGAGACACAGGCAAGAGGGAGAAGCAGGCTCCATGTAGGGAGCCCGACGTGGGATTCGATCCCGGGTCTCCAGGATCATGCCCTGGGCCAAAGGCGGTGCTAAACCGCTGAGCCACCAGGGCTGCCCCACACACTTTGTTGTAATGAAATATTGAGAGAATATTGGAGATACTGTGTTCCTTTACCTCTAAATACTTCACTATGTATTTTCTGAGAGCAAGTATATTCTCTTATGTAACCATACAACAGTGATCAAAATCTGGAAATTTAACAGTTCCAGTACTATTATCTTATTTACAGACTATTCAGTTTTCCTTAAATATTCCAATAATTAATGACTTGAAGCATCTTTTCATGTGCTTATTGACTCCTTTTTTTTTTTGCCCCAGCTTTATTATGGCATAATCAACATATCCTATCTAGTTCTTTTGCTTCATCTTGCAGCCTACTTTTGCTTCTATTGAACCTCTTCACCCACACTGTTGGATTCCCTGCTTGTAGTAACTACATTCTCATCACTTATTGGTGCACATATCTTCGTCTGCATAATGTGCCCTTCTACTTCTTCACTGGGTGAAATATTTATGTATTTTGCTACTTAATTTCCAGAGTTTTGTTTCTGGGATACTAGGGTATTGGAATTTATAATTAGAAGCATATTTGGGGGATCCCTGTGTGGCGCAGCGGTTTGGCGCCTGCCTTTGGCCCAGGGCGCGATCCTGGAGACCCGGGATCAAATCCCATGTTGGGCCCCCGGTGCATGGAGCCTGCTTCTCCCTCTGCCTGTGTCTCTGCCTCTCTCTCTCTCTCTCTGTGACTATCATAAATAAATAAAAATTAAAAAAAAAAAGAAGCATATTTGGTTTTTGTCCACTGTTCCTGGCACAGAGTTCCTAAAACCATTAGAATTTCCTAAGTGAAGAGAAAGGAAGGTATCTTCTCATATGTTAATGAGGTGGCTTTTGGGGGGCACCAGCTCAGTCAGCTGAACAGCCAGCTCTTATTTTTAGGTCTCGGGTTCTGGGATCCAGCCCCATGGCAGGCTCTGCATCAGCGTGGAGTCTGCTTGAGGAGTCTTTCTGTCTCTCTCCCTCCCTCCCTCCCCCTGCTCACGTGTACACTCTCTCACTAAAATAAATAAATCTTAAAAAAATAAATGAGGTGGCTTTGGGAAAGCCTCTAGGTAACCATGGACTTGGGGGCTAAGGGGGGTTGCCAGAGTACCAAGCCTGTGATGAGAAGGTTAGAACATTCAGCCCCACCTCTACCTCCAGGGGGGAGAGAAAGGCTGGAGGGTGAGTTCAGTCCCCAGTGGTTGGTGATTAATCATTTCATGCCTGTGTGACTAAGATTTCATAAAATCCAAAACAACAGTGTTTGGAGAGCCTCTGGGTTGGTGAACAGGTGGAGATTTGGGGAGAGTGGCTCACTAAGAGAGGGCATGGGTACTCCACACCCTTTCCCCATACCTTGCCCTATGCATCTCTTCCATTTGGCTCTTCCTGAATTATATCCTTTTGTAATAAATCAGTAATCTAGTACGTAAAGTGTTTTTCTGAGTTCTGTGAGTTGTTCTAGTAAATTAATCAAACCTAAGGAGGAGGTTGTTGGAACCTCAGATCTATAGCTAGTCAGTCAGAAGTACAGGTGACAACCTGGACTTAGATTTGGCATTAGGGACACCTGGGTGGCTCAGTGGTTGAGCATCTGCCTTCGGCTCAGCGTGATTCTGCAGTCCCAGGATTGAGTCCTGCATCGGGCTCCTGCATGGAGCCTGCTTCTCCTTCTGCCTATGTCTCTGTCTCTCTGTGTCTCTCATGAATAAATAAATAAAATTTAAAAAAAGATAAAGGTGGGTGATGGGGAGGGGGTTTGTAGGACTTCCTTAACCTATAGAATCTGATGCTGTCTCTGGGTATATAGTGTCAGAATGGAGTGGAATTGTAGATACCCAACTGGTGTCAGAAAATTACTTGGTATGAGGAAAAACCCCACACATTAGAGTTGGGTGCAGAATCTTTGTTGGTGACCAGAAGTAGGATCAGTGTTAGAATATTAGATACCCTTCATGGTATCTTTGGAAAAGAAAACTTGATTGATGGATGGTTTCTACTTACAATTTATTCTTCTCTTATTTTCAAGGCAGTTAATTGGACTTTACACCATGGCTCACAATCCTAATATGACCCACTTGAAGATTCATCATCCAGTTACTGCCCTTCCTCCCTTGTGGGTAAGGTGTGACAGTTCAGATCCTGAAGGGACCTGTTGGCTGGGAGCTGAACTTGTCACCACAAACAGCATTGCAGGAATTGTTTTATATACAGTCAGTTGTAAAGGTGAGAGCTCACTTCTCAGGCCTCTTACTTTTATGGGGGTATGGCTGTTTATTTGTATTGTTACTATGTTATGGTTTTCACTGAAAACTGATATTGTTAAGAGGGAAGTGCACACAGTGGAACTTGTTAGCCATCAGGAATCTATTCGGATATGTAACTTGTGGCATATAGGAGATATTCCAGGTGCAGATCTCCAGAAATCTGAACAGGAGTTTATAGCTTTGTTAGTTTTATTTGGGGTTCATTTGGTTTATATGTGTGTATTTTTGGAAATTTTCATTGGAGGATAAAAAAAAATGGAATATAATGACAATAGAATTCCAGTGTCATAGTAGATGTTTAATTATATTTAGTAGCATTCTTACCGAACCCTGAAACCAGATTTGTGTGTCCAATGTGCAGTAAACATTGGAGTCACTGGGTTTGAAGCGGAGAAAATTTTATTATCAGAAAGGCAGCCCATCGAGAGGGCAGGGGATTATTCCCAAAACTGCCTTCTTGATGAGGCTAAAGCAAATTTTTTCATAATCATAGGGATTGAGATTGCATACATATTGATGAAAAGGGTGAGGGAAGCTCGTGACCATTCATGAGAAAAGACGGAGCATGCTCACTAAGTAAGCATAGGTAATGTCTATCCCATGGTTGACACTTGGAACAAGGCCTGTTTTAGTCTCTGACACCAGGAGTTTATCTGAGGACAAGGAGAAGGAGCTATGGACATGCTCCACAAGCCCGTGTAAACTGGATGGGGTCTTGGGCTCATTATCTCAGGTAAGGGATGCAGAGCCTTGCTTGTTCATAGGCTAGAGCCATAACAGTTGACGTCGAGTCCAGGCTTCGGCAGAGACAGCTAGTGGATTTGTTTTGGGGTCTGTAAAGACACAATAGCTGAATAGAGAGAAACAGGCCTCTGAAAAACCAGCTTTAAATTTTTTGCTAAGTTTCAGCATTATTAACGCTATAGGGCATGGTTTTAGTATTGACCTTTGTTTCACTTTTCCTTCCTTTATCAACATGTCATCTGGATTTAAAATTTAAGTTCAGCAATTACTAGTGTAAAGTTGTAGTACCCTCAGAATTTGAGGGATTGTCATTTTCTAGCTCTAACAGCATAATTTTGAATTGTACCTTTCAATAATTTTTTCTTTTATGTTTTATAGCTGATAAAAATTACTCTGTAAATCTGGAAGACCTGAAAAGTTCACATAAGAAAAGACATCACTTGTCTATTGTAGGTATTTCTGTCTTCTACTTACATTAGTTTCTTCAGACTGTTATGGACCTGCCTCCCTAGTTTAGTGATTTTTTTCACTCATATGACTAGATAGCTTTTTGGCTTTTTTGTAGTAAAGTGTTTGTGATTATTTTCATATCAGCTAATGACTAAACATAGATACTGCCTTGCCTTTTACCCAGTCTTTGGGATGGAAAAGAATTGTCTTACTTTTCCATTGGGGATAAAAGTGTGGCACTTTTTCTTCTGTGGGGAAAAGAACCAAAGTAGTTTTGATAAAGGGCACCTCTGGCCCTGTGAAAGTGTCGCTAATGGTGGCCGGATGTGCTCTTTTCAGGTAACAACCAGGGGCTTTGCCCAGTATGAGCTCTTTAAGTCCACAGCCTTGGATGACACACTTGCTGCATCACAAACTACAATTACTTTGGATATTTCCTGGAGTCCTGTGGATGAGATTCTTCAAAGCCCTCCGCTGTCTTCAACTGCAACTCTGGTAGGAGCGAACTCTATTTTGTGTTGAGTTAATTCGGTGTGGATTTACTTTTAACTTGCTTATTGCTGGTGCTGCATGCTTCCAGCCCCCGCCCTGCTGGACAGCCCTGAGAGGCCCAGCTTACCCCTGAAGTCTCACCAGGGCAGCCAGTGGAGGTTTGGCCAGGTAACCTGATACTGTCAGTTGCCCAAAGTGGCAATTATGTAACTTAAGAATTTTCTAGTGACTAATAAATTCTCTTGAGTTGAGACCCTAGTGAAATTATCGAAGTGACTTATCTCTGCTCTTCTTAAAAGATTGCAGATATTGGCGACACATCAAGAACCATTATACTATTAAGGTTTTTCACATTTTTACATTTCTAGGAATCTATCTTAAGTTCATTGGAATTGCTAGCAAAAATATATGTACACAGATGTTACATACAGTGGTCATAACTGTGTTTCTGAAATATTTAAAACAGACCTGAATGTTCAATAGGGAAATACTTAATGTAGATTTCCCTGGTGAAATGTTATATATTCTTTAAATATCATAATTTAAAGTGTTTTAATGATAATAAAAACATTTATTGTTATGCAAACAAAAAGAAAATATAAAAAGTTATATATATAATAGGATCTCATTTATGTTTTTGAAAACTGTGTATATAGAAGCCTAGACAAGTGTTAATAGTCGTTCCCTCAGGCTGGTGGAGTTATGGATACTTACTTTCTTAATGCTTTTCTTTTCCTGCAATAGGAATTTATTTACAATGACATTTCCTTTTTTTCCTCTTTTATCCCCCCTACCCCATTTTTTAAGGTTTTAGGAGGTTCCTAAAACTTTGACCTCTGGCTAAGACAGCATACTGTTGGTTTAGATAGCAGGAGTCTCTTGAACATATTTTAGGGGGTGGTTATTTTTGGTATGTGGTGATGCTGAGCTTTTCATTGGGTCTTAAGATGTATTTATTTACATCTTAAGTTCTCCTACTTACCTTTTGGAAATTCAGTGGGAAAGGGCAGGAGAGGGTATGAGGAGAGCAGTTCTACGTAGGTACAATCATGGTAGAGAGAGAGGTTGGAGGCATGAGTTTAGATTACTGTATTGGGATGGACAGGATCTGTGATGTCTCTGGGTATGAGGTTCTTTTTTTGGGGGGCGTGGGCGTGGTATGAGGTTCTAAATGCAGTATTACCAGGGCACCTGGGTGGCTCAGTCATTAAGCATCTGCCTTTGGTTCAGGTCATGATCCCAGGGTCCTGGGATTGAATATTGAATCCCTCATTGGGCTCCCTGCTCTTTGGGGAGCTGGCTTATCCCTCTCCTTCTGCCTGCTGCTACCCTTCCTTGCGCTTGCCCCCTCCTTCCCTCTCTCTCTTTATCTGTAAATAAATAAAATCTTTTAAAAAAAGCAATATTACCCTACTTATTTTAGTTCATTAGGGCTTTATGAAATATATTTTTTAATGTGTGGGCAATTTAAAATACAAGTAACTGTGACCGTTATGCAGAGAAGATGGAATTACCAGTTAAAACTGACTTTGGGAACTTTTTAGAACCTTAAAGTGGAGTCGGGAGAGCCCAGAGGTCCTTTGAATCATCTTCAGAGAGAACTGAAATTTCTCCTTGTGAGTATCCTTCTGGAATTTGTAACTTGCATTAAATTCTATATTTTCATAAAAATGTTTGCTGACATCATTGATGTTTAGTTTTGTGTTCAAATTTGTTCCAACTGTCATGTATTCAGTCGATACTCTTGGCAATTTGGTCAGTATAATTTTACAGTTGTCCTTATAATCACAGGGAGCTTTAGTTAAGAGCTACACTTCTTCCACCTTTTTACCGGAATATTTGGTTTCTAGTCATATTTCATTTCTATTCTTTTTAGGTGGGTCAGCTGCCAATTTATTCCATAGTCATGTATAATCTGCTTCTTCATAACTGGGATATTGATTCATACTAAAGATTAGTGAGCATGTGTTTCAAGACTTTTATGTTTCAGTGAGTTTTACTCTATTCTACAAATTGAATCTCAAGGGGGTGCCTCATTTTAATGCAGTAGAAATTCTAAATGTCTTAGCCTGGCATAGAGAGCCATTTATATCCAGTCACTGCCCTATTTGCTTTTTTTTTTTTTTCAAAGATTTATTTATTTATTCATGATAGACAGAGAGAGAGAGAGAGAGAGAGGCAGAGACACAGGAGGAGGGAGAAGCAGGCTCCATGCCGGAAGCCCAACGTGGGACTCGATCCCGAGACTCCAGGATCGGGCCCTGGGCCAAAGGCAGGCGCTAAACGGCTGAGCCACCCAGGGATCCCCCTATTTGCTTTTTTTTTAAAACAGCTTTATTGAGATATAAATTATATCCCATAAAATTCACTTATTTCAAGTGCACAATTCAGTAGTTTTTAATATACTTGCAGAGTTGTGCAACCGTGGCCATACATAATTTTAGTCCATTTTCATCATCCCAGAAAGGAACCCTGTACCCATTGGCAGTCACCTCCCACCCTCACCAGCAACTGGCAGCCACTGATTAATGTTACTTTTTGTAGTACTTTGCTCCTTTTCATTGGCGAACACCATTCCGTTGTATAGCTATCCCACATTGTGTTGATCCACTCATCAGCTGGTGACGTTTCTGTTGTTTCTACTTTTTGACTATTATGAATAATGTTGCTGTGAACAGTCTTGTAAAAGTTTTGTGGGACATAGGTTTTCACATCTTTTGAATGGAGTTCTGGGTCAGTGTGATAACTCTGTTTAAGCTTTTGAGGAGCTGCCAAACACAATACCAAGCATTTCTAATACTTTTACCTCCTATTATTATTTCTCTGTTCATATAAAACTTGGTATTTTTTTCTCACCTTTCTTTCTTGAAAGCTCTTCTTTTGGGACCCTTCCTTTGGAATTCCATCATACTTCTATCCTCAAGTCTCTGCTCTTCTCTCTCCACACCTTGGCAGAGAGCTTGTCATTCAATGATTTGACTAATGCCTTTATGAGGGAACTCCAGACTCTTGTCTTCTAGCTGATGCCATTTCCCTTCCTTTTCACTTCCACCAGATTATTTCCCGATTGAGTTGACTGTTGTTGCCTCAAACTCAGTATTTCCAAACTGAAACTTGAGATCTCCTCCAGACTAGATCCCCTCAGAACCCACCCACCCCCGGCCCATTTCTGTATGTGGTTCCACCATTCCTTCAATTTCCCAGGGTAGGAACCTTCTATTTTAGTTTAGTAAGAACTATTTCTACCACCACCACTAACTACCACAACTAGAAGCTGCCATCATGTGCTAAGTGTGTGGTGCTAGATGGCACAGTTATTTTGCTGAAGACATCAGCAATTACAGAGTGGAAGACCTGATTCAGATGAATGTCTGTCATTCAAATGCATGCCTGTCTGTCTGACTTGAAAGTCCTTATGTTGTTATAATGTCCCTTATAAATTCACAGAATCTTGGATGTGCACGTGGCCATAATCTCTCCCAAATTCAGTTCCCTGTATAGGGATTAAGATTTTTTCTTTTATTTTTTCCACATCTCCCTCTCTCATTCCCTCTCTCTCTAATAAATTTCTTTTCCCCCTTTTCTGATTGTCTGCCTATCTTAGTTAAAGTCCTTATCACCTGCTTCCTGGACCACTCTAATGGTCATTTGTTTTTCAACAGGGACATAATGAGCATTTTAAGCAGGACCATTCTTCTTGCTTTGGGACCTTGTACACATAGCAGGACGCTTCGCATCCTTGGTCCTACCAAACTTAAATGCTCAACGTGCCCTTGTGCCCCCAATCATTGTGACACCAAAAACTATCTGCACATTTTTCCAAAGACTCCTTGGAGGTGGAAAATGATTATCACCTCTGTTAAAAAAACATTGTACTTTCTCTTTTCCTTAGAATCCATCCTAGATATTTCTTTCTTTTTTCTTTTCTTTTCCTTTCTTTTCTTTTCTCTTCTCTTCTTTTCTTTTCTTTCTTTTCTTTTCATCCTAGGTATTTCTGACACGAATTCTTAACTAATTGATCATGTCATTTTCCTGCCAGAAAATCGACAATGCCTGTTGTCTTTCATTTGAAATAAAAAAATCTTTATAAGTTTATGATCTGTATTTCCGTCTAGCCCCTGTTCCTTCTAATCTCATTTCCCACTGTTCTTTAGGTATTTCTTCCACCATGGCTGGACCTTGCCCCAACCCTCTTCATCTTATTCCATGCCCCTTCCCTGCTCTGCTGCTCATGGTGCCCACATTTGAATTCAGCTGATGTTTCACCTTGTTCCCCTGGCTGTTCCAATCTCCCTTTCCTTTAGTGGAGATATTGTATGTATAAGCCTATACATTTATATTATTTGTATATAAACTTCCATTCAATTTCACATTTTTGTTCCCTGATTTTTACACCTGGTTTGTCAGTCCTTTTTATCCAAAATTACAAGCATCTTCCAAGCAGTCTCATTAGTCTGTAATCCTCAGTAGCACTTATGCACATGGCATCATCATTAGAACACCATATTTGGTATCAGACTGCTAGGTGGATGTCTTTGCACTGTCAGTAACGTGTGACCTTGTGCAAGTTACTTCACCTTTCTTGGCCTTAGTGGAAGGGGGATGATGGTAATATCTGCCTGATAGGGGTTTTGTGAGGATTAAATACCATACTACATATAAAACACTTAGAACTCTTCTTGTCATGTGGTTAAACATTCAAGAAATGTTATAATGACTAATATCACATACATTCTTACTGATTAAATTATTTTTTTTCCCTTAAAAAAATTGTATTTCTTTTTCTTTTTCTTTTTTTTAAATCTCTCTTAGGTTTTGGCTGATGGTTTGAGGACTGGTGTATCTGAATGGCCTGAGCCTCTGGAAGTAAAATCTGCTGTTGAACTTGTGCAAGAATTTCTGAATGGTCTTTGTTTTCCTAACTCATGCTCTGTATACTGGGTTTTTTTTTTTTTCCCCCTTTGTTGAGAATTTATACCTTCTAAATTTAAAAATAAGTTATCTTTTTAGGCTTGGTAAAGTCTAAAAGTTGGGAAGTTTATAAAGCTGTGAGGTCTGTCATGATCAGAAGAACAGATTTGTTCTGTATTACTAACAGTGCAGGTCTAAGTACTTTTAATAATTAATATTGAATTTAAATTTTACATACCACAGCTGTATTTGAGATAATAGGAAAAGAGGGATGGAACAGAAACTTTGAGCACCTACAATGTGCCCAACATTGTGTGTCATAGGCTCTCACTGTATCTCAGTTATCTCCACACCCCTGCTTGGTAGATGTCTATCATAACTTCCATTAGAGAGCTAATAATTTGTTAAAATCCCTGGTTGTACTTCTACTGTCCTTATTTACCTTTTGAAAACAGGACTGGGATGGAAATTATTTATTTATTTTTATTATTAATTAATTAATTTATTTTTATTGGAGTTCAATTTGCCAACATATAGCATAACATCCAGTGCTCATCCCATCAAGTGCCCCCCTCAGTGCCCATCACCCAGTCACCCCCACCCCCCGCCCAGGAAATAATTTAGAAAGCAGAAAAATAGGATATAGAGTTAATAAGCTTTTGCTACTTTCTAGACTTAAATAAGCTGGATGGATTTGGTGATTCTACAAAGAAAGACACAGAGGTAAGCAATTCTTATCAGAACTGTGCCCTGAAATAGCTTTAAAATTTGGTTTTACGGCTATTGTTCATGTCATACCATTTCAGCTGGATCTGGTACAGCCAAGGTAGCATTTTGAAGGTAGTTTTTTGTTGGTCTTTTATGTCAACACTGGTGATTATTTTCCTTAAGAACTAATAAATGCTTTTGAAGAGAACTAATACATATGTATTATTAATTGATCAACTGCAGAGAAGCAAAAATGACTATGTCCATATGCTATAAGATGGTCGTATTATACTAATATACTATAAAATGGTATGATAGTATGCCTTTCCTGGTATCATTAAACTAAATAGGTTGTCATTTGATAAAATAGGAAAATGGAGACAAATGTCATTTAATTATTTTTGCAGTGAAGGAAAGTTCAATGCTTGCTTTGAGGCATCACACTTTTACAACAATTTTAAGGGTCCAGTTCATTTTATATCTCCTCATCAGTGAGCGAGATTGTAAAAAATGTGTTCCCATCTGTGGATCCCCATATTCTTGGAGCAGCATTTGAAAGCTCACTGGCTTTGAACTATTTCTTTTCTTTTTTAATAAACTGAGTATTCTATGATGCTCTTTTTTCAGACAGTGAAGCATGACAGTGCTGCAGTTGACCGTTCCATTGAGTGTCTCTTCACTGTACGGGGGGATCTCGACTTTGCTGAGCAGCTGTGGTTCAAGATGAGTGGTAGTAGGTATCTGTCACGATCGTGAAATAAATGTTTCCTGCCATTGGTTAGGTTTACTTTTAAGTCTTTGAAAATAATATAGGACTAAGTGTACTACTAGTCTTGTGTGGAGGGCTGGTTCGTATCTTCTCAAATTCATTTCTAGTGAGGTATTAGCACATTCTACTCAAGAATTGTACTAAGGCAAGATAATTCCTAGAGTCTATTCTTTTCTCTTGCCTTGAATATAAGACATAGATGGTTTTTATGTTAATATTTATATGAACCAAAACCTACACCTTAGTGGAATTATAACTATTAGGAAAAGAGGGCAGCCCCGGTGGCGCAGCGGTTTGGCGCCGCCTGCAGCCTGGGGTGTGATCCTGGAGACCCGGGATCAAGTCCCACGTCGGGCTCCTTGCATGGAACCTGCTTCTCTCTTTGCCTGTGTCTCTGCCTCTCTCTCTCTCTGTATGTGTCTCTCATGAATAAATAAAATAAAATCTTTTAAAAAAAAAAAAGGAAGAGGAAAAGATAAGTCCTTAATATTGTACTGTATTATTTTGTGACAGTGAGTTTACTCTCTTACTGTAGAGGATGTGTTAAATTTTTTCTTTTTGGCTTGAATTTCTTTCCCCTTCTCCCCACCCAGAAGTACAGGTACTGTCTTCTACTTATTTGTGTATCCTTAATTTTGATGATATATCTGATCTGCAGAAATACCATGAATGTAATGTTGGACTGACTTGTTTTCCAAGGTGTGGTTTCATACCAAGACTTGGTGAAGTGTTTCACACTGATCATCCAGAGTCTGCAACGTGGTGATATACAGCCATGGGTAGGTTTAGTAGTGTTAGTTAGAACACTTTTTAATTGGCATGGCTCTGAAGGTTAAGGCATAGGCCTGGGAACAGATTGCCTAAGTTTGAATCCAGCCCTGCTGCTTTCCTAGCTGTGTAAACGATTCTTTATGTCTCTTTGCTCCAGCTTCCTCATCTATACAGTAGGGGTAGGAAAAGTACCTACCTCATAGTGGTGTTTAGTGATAAATAATTTAATTCATGTAAAGCACCTAGCTCATAATTAAGTGTTCAGTATTTGTGAAATAGTATTGTCACCATTGTTGCTCTGAATGATTATTCTTATATACTACTGATGAGAGTACAAATTGGGATAATCTCTGGAAAGCAATTTTGAGTAATGTATTGAGGTCCTCAAACGTATCATGCATGCCCTTTGAATCATTATTTTTTTCTTAGGATCTACCCTAAGCTTATACACAGGAATACGTATTAAGATTTTCTATATTAGAATAGTCCCCACAGCCTCATTTATAGTAGCAAAAAATTATAAATGACCTAAATTTCCCCTGTTCATGGGTTAATGATATGGCCGCATAATGGCATCTGTAATCGTTGCTGAAAATGATGCTGATGGATGATGTGGAGAAATGCTTACAATCTGCAGTAAAAAGAAAGGACTATACACTATTGCATGAAAAAAGTAAATTTTGGAGAGAAAAACCTGGAAATAAATATCCCAAAATGTTACAGCAGTTGCCTCTAGTGCTAAGGTTACAAGTGAGTTTTTTCAGCTGCATCCTACATTTTTATACTTTATGGATATTTCATAATGAACTTGTGCTTTTACAGTCAAGAAAAAGGTAAGTAAAAAACTAGAAACTAAAAAATTCTTCATTTCATGGGAATTCTTTGAAGTATGGTAGCTGCCAATTCACGACTCCAAAACTTAGAAACCTTCATGGGTCTGCACAAAGATCCAGTGCAAACGAAGGCATGTCAGTGTTGCTCCTCACTGGGCAGTGGCGACTATAGGCATTTTAACCTCAGCCGCAGGGGATTTTCTCATGCAACTTTCTGTGTTTGTAAGATGTTTGCGAGTATATCCCTGCCATGTGCAATGAGTGTGCAGACAACCCAGAAATTGTTTTTATTAAAACAAGGGAAATGCAGAAGCTTATGATGGAGACTAGAGATAATAGACATTAGTCTATTGGACATATTAGTCTAATAGACATAGAAAATACCCAATATTTAGGTATCTTTAGAATGAAGTGTTTAACATTTGGTACATGTGTTAGATCTATGAGTTCACAGTTCTTGATTTGCAGATCTAGTTAGATATTGTAGATCTAGTTAGATATTGTAGCCAAGGAACTCCTTCTGACACATGTGGAAACGACTGTAGAGACCACTGAGGAAGGGAGTTGGCCCACAGTAGCAGATGTTCTGTGCAGAGGAAGATACTCAGTATCTGAGTATACTCAGTTGGGAAAGATGCCCCAGTAGTCCTTAATCAGCTAGGAGAAAAGAGGTCCTGGTTACAAAGCTTCAGAGGATCAACTCTTGTCTTCTTTTTTGGTGGAATTGTATCTGGGGGATGATAAATTGAAACTCTTCATAGTTGCCTTGGCCTAAAGCAAATGCTATAGGAATGACACTTCAGGAACTGCCATGTTTGTAACTTACACATAAGTTCAAACTTTTTATTTTTATTCAAATAATTGTTGGTATTAGGAGACTAAATATGCAAGCTTATAATTTTTAGTTCATAGCTAATATAGTTTGCTTCTGTTTTGTTTATTGGATTTGTTTATATTTTCATTTATGGCTTTATATATATATTTCTAGCTCCACAGTGGAAGTAACAGTTTATTAAGTAAGCTTATTCATCAGTCTTATCATGGAACCATGGACACAGTTACTCTCAGTGGGACTATTCCAGTTAAGATGCTTTTGGAAATTGGTCTGGACAAACTAAAGAAAGATTTTATCAGTTTCTTCATAGGTGAGTTCCTTTCTCAGCTCAAAAAATTAAAAAGTACTTCACAGTCGTCAGCCATAGATATTCACAGGCTTTTTCTTCCTACTTGGCCCTAGTCATTTATAGCGCTGACTTTGCCTACGAATCACTGTGAGACCAGCGCTTCTGTACTCTGGCACTCAATTTCCTTCTTGATAAAGATATTTGATTAAATATGACTCTAGTTTTTGTTTGCTTGTGTTTTGAGTTCAAACATTTTGAGATCTACGAGGTTAGTGTAGTAAATAAAAAAACTTCTTTGTGGGATACTGTCTTACCACCCAACACTTGGTTGTTTTTATTAGAGGCAAGCTGTGATCATTTTAGAATAGTATTAATATGTATTTGTGGTGTAACATGCCAGAAAACTTGGCCATTTCTGAGTAACTATTTAGCTTGAGCATCTTTTTTGTATATGAACTCTGAAAAATTTTACTTAGGTTCCTTAACAAGTAATTGACAATACCTAATAAAGCTTATTTGCATTTATGTGTTTTTTCTTACTAGGTCAGGAACTTGCATCTTTAAATCATTTGGTGAGTTGGTTTTTTATTCTAAAGTTAGTGGGTTTTTTGTTTTTCTTAATTCATTCTACCTGCAGATACTAAATACTGATTCCATGCTAGCCTCTCTCCTAGGACCTAGGGAACAGATAGATAAGTAGACAAACCAATAAATAACCAGATAAAGTACTTTTTATTTTTATGAATCCCCCCCCCCAGTCATTTCATTTGCCTATTTTTATTTTAATATGATTTGACTCCAAACTTTTGACACAATAGTCCTTATACTTGGAGGCTCCTTGAAGGCTTATTGAATTGCTAATTCCTGGGCCTCAGAGACTCCATAGACCTGCAGCTCAAGATTATGTGTTTTAAAACAAATCATCTACTTCAAACGATTCTGATGCTTTTCTCTTACTGTATTTGTTTTCTGTTACTGCATAACAAATTACAGTAGTCCCCACCTATCTGTGGGGAATACCATGGGCAATACTATGGGCCATACTGAATCCTATATATACTGTGTCTTTTTCTATACACACCTATCCTAAAGTTCGGGCATAGAGATTAACAGCAATTACTAAAAATAGAAAAATTATAATATACTGTAATAAAAGTTATGTGGATGTGGTCTCTGTCATTCTCACAATATCTTACTGTACTCATCCTTATTGTGATGTTGGAACATGATAAAATGCTGATGAGATTGAGGGAGGTAAGTGATGCGGGCACTGTGACCTAGCATTAGGCTACTATTGACCTTTCAGAAGGACTGAAACCATGGAAAGTGGAACCTTGGATAAGGTGGGGGGCGCTTCTGTACTGCAAACAGAAGCTTAAATGAACACAGATTTATTACATCCCAGTTTCCCTGGGTTGGGCATTGGGCACATTTTAGCTGGGTCCTCTGCTTTAGGGTTTCACAAGGCTAAATCAAGGTGTCAGCTTGACTAGGGAAAGATAGTCTAAGTTCCCTCATTTGTTGTTGGCAGAATTCATTTCCTTGTAGCCTGATAACCAATGTGCCCATTTTCTTGCTAGCTATTGGTCCAGAGCCAGTCTCAGGTCTTAGGGTTTGCTTGTGGGTCCTTGCCATGTGGCATTCTCTCCAACGTGTCAGGCAGTTTGTTTCTTCAGAGCCAACAGGAGAGCATCTCTAATACTTCACTTTCTCTTAAAAGGCTCACCTGATTAGGTAGGTTGTAGTGATGACCAGGTGATAATCTCCCTTTTGATTAATTCAGAGCCGTCAATTAGTAACCTTATCATGGAAGTAACAGCCCATCGTATTCACAAGTTCTGACCTCAGTGAAGGGGAAGGGATTATATGGGATGTGTAGTTTAGGCAGTGGGAATTTGGGGGCCATCACAGAATCCCACCTACCATATTTACCATGGAGGATTTCCTTAGGATGTGTTCTCAGAAATAGTATTAGGTCTGAGCATTTTTTGATGCTTGACATACATTACCAAGTTTTATTTTTTTAAAGGGTTGTACCAATCTACCAATAATTGATGTGAATGGAAGCTTATCAATACACTTGATTGATTTCTTTGTACTTGTTAACTTACTTTTAGAGGTTGACACTTCTGTCAACCTGGCAAGGGTATTGAAGTTAAGAGTTATCTTGTGGATTTGCCAGTCATTCCATCTGGAGAGCTTGGTGCGTGGTATTAGTTATCCAGTCAGGCCTCCTTGGTAGGGCAGTTCTCGGATTTGTTTTGACCAGAGAATGTAATGGTTTGCTGAGAACATTCTCAGTGACAACTTTGCTCATGATTTAATCTGAAGAATAGCATTGAAGAGTGATAAACTCTATCTGGCTGCCTCAATTTTTTTTTTTTCCTATTAATCAGGCCTAGTTGAGGTTTAGCAAGCATAGCAATCTTTCTGAAGATGGTTCTTGTTCTTTAACTCCCTATTTTGCTTGTACTGTTTTTTCATTCCAGGAATATTTCATTACTCCATCAGTAGATATACAAGAACAGGTGTATCGTGTTCAAAAACTCCACCATATTCTAGAAATATTAGTCAGTTGCATGCTTTTCATTAAACCCCAACATGAGCTCCTCTTTGCTTTAACACAGTAAGTATTGCTCTCTTGTTCCCTTCACATAAACATGTATTCTCTTGTGAAACAGCTGGAGCCAAAATATGTGCAGTTTTTATTACCAGTTAGACTAGAATCGGTACAGCCTGTCTTCACAGTAGCAGAATGCTTCTCAGTCCCTGTTGGAGGAAGGGAAAGACTTTGGATTTAGAAGGACTCCGGTTCAACCCTTGGCTCTAGAACTTTCCGACTTCCTGAGGAAGTTTCTTTTCGCTTCCTCTTGTTTTCTCATCTAGAAACAGGAACTAGTAACCTCATGTGTTTGTTGTCCGGGTTAATGATGTTCATGTGAATGAAGTACCTGACACCTAGTAGGTAGGTGTCATGACTCTTCTCCTTTCTTTCCTTATACACTGGGGCCAAACTAATGATTGCTAGATCTCCATGTAGTAGTTGCATGGAACCAAATATTATTAGATTTCTATTTTAGAGATTCTGCTGGTAACTTTGCCTATAAACAGTTTGCAATGATCCTCTTAAGTGGGTTGCTGGTGTCTTCCGTGTATTTGAAGCCTTAAATTGGAAATGAGTGAATTTACAATCTGGTGGAAGGGCTGACTTTTTTCCCTGTAGAAGGAAATGTACTGTGGCCTTTCCTGAAATCAGAATTTATCTCAATTGTAAAGGGAAAAATTAGAAATTGTTGACAGAATCTAAAAGATTTATTTTCATTAGAGATGAATACTGTATGGGATCCCTGGGTGGTGCAGCGGTTTGGCGCCTGCCTTTGGCCCAGGGCGCGATCCTGGAGACCCGGGATCGAATCCCACGTCAGGCTCCCAGTGCATGGAGCCTGCTTCTCCCTCTGCCTGTGTCTCTGCCCCCCCCCCCTCTCTCTCTCTTTCTCTCTCTCTCTGTGACTATCATAAATAAATAAAAATTTATTAAAAAAAAAAAGAGAGATGAATACTGTAAATGAGTTAACTCTAATTCCCCAGAGCCTGAAAACCATGGAGGCTAAATCTTTGTCTCTCTTTTGCTTCTTTTTGGTTTTCTTTTATTGATACCTCTTTTTCCCCACTCATTCCTTTACTTTGGCTCAACTTAATTATATTTTATGAGAAATATGTCTTCTATTGATTTTTAAAAATTGGGGGAAAAAAAGTTGAATGAGATTTCCTTTCAAAGTCAAAAACAACCTAACTTTTGTGTGGGAGGGGGCATTGCTTTTTGTTCATTTACTTTCGTGTCCCTGAAATTATTTTGTTGTTTTGGTTGGTGGTACTGAATGGAATGTTTGGCTTATGAGCTTTAGATTATCAGAAAGCCTTTATCTCCAAGAGACTTTTTTCCTAAAAGAGGTCCTTTTTTTGTTGTTGGTTTTTGTTTGTTTTAGATCCTGCATAAAATATTATAGACAAAATCCTCTTGATGAGCAACACGTTTTTCAGCTGCCAGTTAGACCAACTGCTGTAAAAAGCTTGTATCAAAGGTCAGCAATTTAATAATTATGTCTTAAGCCTGGCTATAATTCCTGGGTAATTTCTGTGTCCTTTCCCTGGGGATTTCATGACCAAGAGTTGTTCCACCTCTGAAACCTTAATCATCTCTATCCCACTCTTTGACTATCATCTGATAGTTCACCCTCTTTCTTCTCCCAGAACTTTCTTGTGTCTTTTCTCTTTCTGCCAGTGGGCCTTTAGTCTTTCATTTTTTCTCAATCTAATTCTTTCACAGTATAGGGCCGAAAATATAGCCAGAAGGGAAATGACAGATTGGAAAGGAAGTGATCAGGGTAATAATGACAAAGTCAAGGCTATGGCTGTGGGAGCAAGAGAAGCCTTGCGATTGGGGAGGTATGGGACTGTGAGGCTTAGGGCACAAATTGGCCATCCACATGGACTTTGATATTGCCTCAAATGATGGTCTCCCCAGCTCTCCCCTCTGCATGCAGTGTACTTGAAATTTCCTACTGAAGCTATTATGTTTATACCCTCCCTCAGTTTGGTTCCCTCCTGGCCAAACCCTGTCATTCCTTGAAACTGCTCTGGCAGAGGTCTCCAGTGACTTCCTAATTGCCAAATCCATGGGACAACTTTCTAGTAAAAGAGTGTGTTTTAGCCCCTTGTGTAATTAGCTGGCCCACCAATTCATTCTCCTTACAAGTAAGTACTCACAAGGCTGTTAGGCATTTAACATTATTCCTTTCTGGGACCTATCCCCTTGCTTCATTTCTATGACATAGCTTGTGTCTTAATTTTAATTCCATCTCTCTTGTCCACCTTCAAGACTGCCTGCTTCTCGTATGAGTTTTCACCAGAACTCCACTGTTGCCTTTTTTTCTTCTTACTTTCTGTCTTTCCTGGCTGATTGTATTCATACTCAAGGCCTTGCTTCCTCTGGGCCAATGATGATCACAACTCGCATCTCTAGCTTCTCTGGAGCTTTGGGCCGTGTTTCTGAATGCCTGTTAGATGTGAGTCCCCGACTTCAATGTCTGCTAGGTAGTTCTGACTCAAAACCCAAAATTTAGGATTGTGTCCTGTCCGTCTCTTCTTCCTCTATGCCTCTCACATAGGACTTCACTAATGAGTATAGAAGGAAGGAAATAACTGGGACTTTTTTCTTCCTTTGATGTTTTCCCTTCCTTAGTGAGAAGCCACAGAAATGGAAAGTGGAAATAAGTGGTGGTCAGAAGAAGGTGAAAACAGTTTGGCAACTGAGTGACAGCGCACCTGTAGACCATCTGAGTTTCCACAAACCTGGTAAAGATGGTTTGTCATCTAGTTAAATTATTCCAGTAGAAGAGAAACTGAATCTTTACTGGTACATTGTGTTAGCTCTCATACTCTGTTTTAAATAATTTTCCTGAACTCTAAGTGTAAAACATATTCTGGAGGGAAAAAATCCCTGGAAGAGTACTTTTTCTCATTATCCTGGATAGAGGAACCTTTTATCAAAAGAGGTCAAGCAATGGAATACAGGGAGTCAAAATAGATTTTAAGGTTGAAATGCCAGCTCATTCTTTTGTGTACTACTCTCAGTGATGATATTTCTGCCCTAATGTCTGCTCTGAGGGGCTTGAAGAAGGTTGATATTTCTAATATTCTATCAAAGATGGTCCATTTCAGTCAGAGAATGTGTGTGAGCCCCTGGTGTAATAAGGTGGCTCCAAGTATTTCTCCTTCAGCAAGCACCTGTAAAACTGTCATTGTCATCTGTGAGGATTGTAGTGTGCTGTCCTCTCTTTGTATAGATCTTAAATGGCTGCATTTCAGATAATGTGAGGACTATCCAAAATCAAATCTGACAGTTTTAAGACAGAATCTGAAAAGATTTCAAAAGCCTATAGTCCACCACTGCTGGTTGTTGAACTATAGAACTAGACAAATAGTTCTCTTGTAGAGATGATACCTTGCAAAATTATTTCCAGAGAATGTTTGTTCTCTCTTCGAAATATTTTTTGATTCAAGCATAATGAAAACTTCTCTCAACCACAATGGAAACTTCTCTGTTCATATGGCTGAATGATAAAAGTCCTAAAGAAACTGAATAATTAAAAAAAAAAAAAAGCTGAATAATTTTCCTGAGAACCATCAGTGAAGATTATGCTGTCTTTTCTAAGTGTGATATGAAACATGGAAGGTATAGAGCTTGAAAGTCAACCATATAAAATTAGAAAAATGTCTGCATGTCAAAAAATACCAGGCGCGAAACAAATGATAAACTAGGAAAATTAATTTTACAGCTCATGTTCAGAAAAGGGGCTACATTGCCTGGTATATAAAGAAGTTTCAAATGAGTAAGAAAAATACGTTAAGAATGCAATAGAAAAATGGGCAAGTAACACGAAAATTTTACCAAAAAGGAGATTCAGATGTCATCTTCAGAATAAAAGGTGCTCAGCCCCACCTATGGTAAGAGAAATGCAAACTTACATTCCAGAGATATTCTCTTTCAACGGTCAGATTAGCAAAGATCAAAAAGTTTGGTGTCACAGTACTGGCAAGAATGTGAACAAGTAGCCTCACACATTGCTGGTCGACGTGTTAGGATGTATAGCTTCTGTGGAGAGCAATACCCACCAAAATTTTAAAATACGTTTTGCAGGCCCGTAGTTTTATTAGTAGGGATTTATTCCATGCATAAAACCCAACATGTACAAAAAGACCTATGAACAAATGTGATATTGTTTACAGTAGCAAAAGCCTGGAAAAAATATGGAGAGTGAGGCATAAGAAAAGATCTGGAAGGATACAATGAAATTTTAACTTGGAGGTATGGCATGCAGTGGGGGGAGGGCTTGTTCTCAGCTTTGAGTGAACATTAAAATCATTTAGGGAGCTTTTAAAGTCTTAATACCAAGACCAAGCAAATCAGTCTCTGGAGCTAGCGCCTAGACATCTGTGATTTTTGAGGTTCTCCAAGTGATTCCACTGTGCAACTAGTTTGAGAACCACTAATTTAAGCATTTTGTTTTCTCTGCATAAGTTGTTTCAGGTTTGTTTGTTTTTAAAAAGACCTATATTTTATGATTTAAAAAAGTTTTAAAGCTTTGAGCATATGTGATATATTTTTGGAAAATGCCATTTTTAAAGTAAGTTTTATTATAACATAAAGATCAAACCTGTTCTTTGAGGAAATTCATGCAAGATTAAACACCTTTTTTTTCAATGCTGCTGAATAAGTGAAATAGATTAAATGTACCATCTAGACTCTTTGATGCAGATTACTTCAAAAAAGAGTGAGTTGCTCTGAATGTTTAGAGTTAAAACAATTTATTGATGCATTGTTTCAATGACTTGTGAAAATAGGGAATTCTTTTTTTTTTAATAGGAATTCTTATGAAATTGTATATTTATGTGCTTGGAAAAGCGCTCATACTGCATTTTAGCTAGAACTTTATAACCTCTTCTACCCATTTTACGTTCTTGATGTGTTTATCTAGAAATTATTCAGTCACTTCCAGCCTAAAGTAAGACCGACTGGTGAAGGAGGCCCTCGTTTGTAAGCCTCATGGGCTATTCAAACAAAGGCCTGATTGTAAATATTAAAGCTCAGTCATGATTTAATTTGCCAAAGATTATATGCATTTCAGAGGTTTAACTTTCTGCTTCATTGGACTGAGCACTTAGGTCAACTGTTGCTTTTCAAGATATCTAATGTGTTACTGTTGAGTAAAACATTGAGATTAAAAGCAGGAACACTTGAGAAGAAATGTCAGGAAAGAGAATAATGATTTCGAGCGAATGAGGGAGAACAACAGTGTCTGAGGAAGTGGTACTTGCCCAGCAGGCACTTCGCAAATGATTGTTGATAATGGTGAGAATGTGGAAACCAAAATATTGACCCCACAAGACTGGAAACATAATCTCATTTAAATGTTAATTGTACCAACTTTTTTTTTAAATACAACAGTCTTCAGGAGAGGAAAAAAATGCTTATGTGTCTGGCCGTAAGACTAGAAATCTCAAGAAGAAATTGTTTTCTGAAACATGTTAAGATTGGAAAAAGAGTTTAACTATAATGGATGAGGCATAAAGATAAAGCAGTAGACTTCCAAAATAAGAATATAGTATTTCTAAAAATCTGCTTTTTATTTTCTTTAATCAATGTTTTCGGTGCATCAGAGGGTTTACTATTTAAAGGAATTGTCCCTGCTGGCTTTTCTTATAAATTCAAAGTAGAAGACATCTTATTTAGATTATCCCTGGATTATTATGAAATTCAGCAATATATAGTAGTATTTAGTAGACCAGCAGGCTGGTAAGCAATTATGATCTCTGTCTGGTTACAGATGTTTCTGAATTAACATTGAATGGTAGCCTAGAAGAAAGGATCTTCTTTACTAACCTGGTTACCTGCAGCCAGGTGCATTTCAAGTGAAGTGTGCTGATGGAGTCCTTTGTAAGGTAGTATGTTCGCTTTGTATTCCCTCCAAATACTTTGTAATGTATTATGTATGTTTCAGTTTTTTCTACAACAGATATGTTGATTTAATACATTTGGAATATGAATTATTTTTCAGTAATCAGGCAAGAGGTTTACCAGATGTTATGGAGTAATGCAAGTCTTTAATTTCCTTTCTACCTTCTGTAGTCCACTTAATAGGTCAGATTAGTCCTAAAACCAGAAAAGCAAAAACATTTCATTAAAATGTCTTTGCATTTTAAATCTGTATATGTGGTAGAGAGTTTGATTTCAAAAATATTGACGGGAGAGAAAAATCCTAAATGAGTGTCAATTTGACATTGAAAGCAAAGAAAGTTCTGTTAAAAACTATTTTACCGGGGCAGCCCCCGTGGCGCAGCAGTTTAGTGCCACCTGCAGCTAGGGTGTGATCCTGGAGACCAGGGATCGAGTCCCATGTCGGGCTCCCTGCATGGAGCCTGCTTTTCCCTCTGTGTCTTTGCCTCTCTCTCTCAGTGTGTCTCTATGAATAAATAAATAAAATCTTAAAAACAAAACAAAACAAAACTATTTTACCGGGCAGTCTGGGTGGCTCAGCAGTTTAGCGCCGCCTTCAGTCCAGGTTGTGATCCTGGAGACCCGGGATCAAGTCCCATGTCGGGCTTCCTGCATGAAGCCTTCTTTTCCCTCTCTCTGCCTGTGTCTCTGCCTCTCTTTCTTTGTGTGTGTGTCTCATGAATGAATAAATAAAATCTTAAAAAAAAAACAAAACTATTTTACCCCAGCACCCCAATATTTTATAGCAACATTATCAACAAGAGCCAAACTATGGAAAGAGCCCAAATGTCCATCAACTGATGAGTGAATAAAGAAGATGTGGTATCTGTACACAATGGAATATTACTCAGCCATCAAAAAGAATGAAGTTTTGCCATTTGCAATTATGTGGATGGAGCTAGAGTATATTATGCTAAGTGAAATAAGGCAGAGAAAGACAAATACCATGTGATTTCACTCCTATGTGGAATTTGAGAAACAAAACAGATGAACATATGGGAGGGGGGGAAAAGAGAGAAGCAAACTGTAAGAGACTCTTAATGTTGGAGAACAAACTGAGGGTTGATGGGAGATGGGCGGGGGCTAGGTTAGATGGTTGGTGGGTATTAAAGAGGGCACTTATGTTGAGCACAGGGTGTTATATGTACGTGATAAATCACTGAATTGTACTGAAACCAATATTGTAACCAATATTGTACTGTATATTAATTAACTAGAATTTAAATAAAAATTAAAGAACAAAACAGTTTTACACTAGCCTAATTGTAGCACTAAGCCGCAGATGTAAATTACTTTTTTAAAATGTTTGAGATGGTATTAACCAAGAGAATTAATGTAATAGCATTATTTACTGTTTTGGTGTTTTAGAACCAATTGAATCAGGTAATGAATAAAATGCTTCATATCATTCTTTTTTTAAAAAAATATTTATTGGGATCCCTGGGTGGCGCAGCGGTTTGGCGCCTGCCTTTGGCCCAGGGCGCAATCCTGGAGACCCGGGATCGAATCCCACGTCGGGCTCCCGGTGCATGGAGCCTGCTTCTCCCTCTGCCTGTGTCTCTGCCTCTCCCTCTCTCTCTGTGACTATCATAAATAAATAAAAAAATTTAAAAAAATTTAAAAAAAATTAAAAAAAATATTTATTAATGAGAGGCGCAGAGAGAGAAAGAGAGAGAGGCAGAGACACAGGCAGAGGGAGAAGCAGGCTCCATGCAGGAAGCCCGACGTGGGACTGGATCCTGAGTCTCCAGGATCACACCCTGGGCTGAAAGCAGCATTAAACTGCTGAGCCACCAGGGCTGTCCATTTCATATCATTCTTATGCCATGTTTTGTCCCCAGATAAATAGATGTTACTTAATTTTAGCATTTTAGTGTAATTGGAGAATAAAATAGACTTTTATTTTAAAAACTCTGAATATCTTGTTACAGAGAAAATATTAAATACGTATTTCTTTGAAGTATTTCATAGAAGTTGAGTTTAGTGCAAGAAAGTTTATTTCAGAAAAGGATATGTGCTCACTTACTTGGTACTCACCCAATGCATTTCCCTAGTTGCCTGATAGATTGTGGAGACGTTTGACTGTGACCATTGTTTATAGGACAGTGCTAAGCTGACAGTTATTTCCACATTATAGTGATGTTTCTGGATAGATTTTTATTTTTATTTATTTGCTTAAAGATTTATTTATGCATTTGAGAGAGAGAGAGAGTGCACGAGTAGGGGAAGGAGCATAGAGAGAAGGAGACAAGCAGACTCCACGCTGAGTGGGGAGCCTGTTTCAGGGCTTGATCCCAGGACCCTGAGATCATGACCCAAGCCGAAATCAAGAGTGTGATGCCTGACTGACTGAGCCACCCAGGTGTGCCCCTGGATAGATTTTTAGAAGGAGAAAAAATGAAGCATCAAAACAGTTTGTGCATCATGATTCCTTTTTTGCAAAGTAAAAACAGATGCATAATAGCAAAATATTAACATTGACTTTGACAGGTGATTTTTATTTCATTTATGCTTATTTTTATTTTCTAGTTTTTAAATCCCAGCACAAGACCCAAAAATATATATATATTTTTTTTTAACCACAGAGCCTGAAAACAGAAATGTATATAAACCTTCAAAGCAGAGAAAGGAGGAAGATCCTGAAGATCCTTGATGAAAGATTAATCTATAAAACCTGTAACCCTGTCTCAGCTCTGGCTCCGTAGGAGGAGCATCAGGAGAACTGCAGAGATGAGTACACAGAGGGTGCAGACTGTAGGTACCACGATCTCTGTCACCATCTGCATGTGACTTAGCAGAGGCTCTGAAATGGCAGAGAAAACATCACAAATGACAATGTCATCATTTCAACGAATAATAGCTTCATCCTGAAAGATGCAATTGTATTGGGAAAAACTTGGAAAATGTATCATCAAGCTTTGTAATTATTTTCACTTGCTCCAAAAGAGAACATGGTGAATAAATGTTATAAAAAAATTATGTGAGGGTTTTGTAAAATATTTCACAAAATATTTCACAAAATATAAGATAAATAATGCCTACATTTGGTTCTTCCATAGGTATTGGAATAAAATCTAAGTGTTATACTTACTATAAATTAATGTGAGAAAATTAACAGACATGTTCCACAGTTTCTGTGTTTTCACTGGGTAGGGGGCGGTGGGGGGGCATTGTGAAAGAAAAATCCTTGAGAAACATCTCCAACCTTTCAAAGATGTTATTGTGTATCTTAAGAGGTATAGAAGTTTCCATATTGAAAGTTCATGGAACAATTCTTGCATAGCTAAGTAATCCTGAAGAGTTGAACAATAAGCATGTTCCATGTACTTGATTATAGTAGTGGACATTTATGTAATTCCTGCTTTTAGGTCTTGTGCCTGGCACCTTGGCTACCATAATAAATAAGGCCTGAAGCCCTGCTCCTACAGAATTCAGTAAATCTATATCTGTGTCTAGGTGATAAAATACAAGTTTATTTTGGTTTAAAGGAATATGCATCCTTAATATCATCTGGTTATTTAGATGGGAGCAGGGCACAGTAGTAGTGTATTGGCCTATAAAAAGAGCTGAATTAGAAAAAGAAAAAATAAAAAAAAAAGAAAAAGAAAAAATAACTGGTAGGATTTGTTTCATCTAGCACTTTCCATCTCTCATACCACATTAAAGATGGGTTTGTTAAAACAGGAAGTATATTTCTCTGATTCCCCTTAGAGAAAGAATTGAAGGAAACAAAATGTGCTGGCATTCATTGATGTGTAGATGCATCTTTGTTATACATCTCAGAGCCTTTTAGATCCTATTGCACAAGAAACCATGCCTTCCATGAGGTCAGGGACCTTATTTTATTGCTATATACCCCAGGGCTTACAACAACCCCTGCTAATAGTGAGTGCTTAATAATTACTTGCTGAATGAGTGAGTATAATATCTGGAGTATCCTTCGCCTTTCCTTTATTGGAATATGCTTACATTTTCCCCTCCTTCCACAAAGCCCACCATAACAACAAATAGGTTTATAAATTGACAGATGACTCACAAAGAATAAAACTAGGGTGAATAAAATATTTCTTTTGTGGTAGATTTTTAAAATATTATTTGAAATGGTTATAAAACAAATTTAACATTGTTTCAAAGTGAAGGAAAAAATCATTTTTTTAAATTGTATGCTTTGGAATGATTGACTTCAGATAGATCCACATTTTGAGGTTTTGGTAACATCATTATATGTATAATTATGTGCCTTAATTGTTGAAGGGAAAAATTAAAAATATACTTACCTGCAGCAAGCATCTGGTTGTTGATAGAGCAAGTTTCCAAGGCTTTGAGATACCAACTTTCCACCTAATAAAAACCAACTAGATAAATAATGTCATATAGACTAATTTTTTGCTATTCGAAATCATTTTTGAAATAATGTGGGATTAAAAGAATTTAAATCTGCCTGGAGTTTAAATTAGTTAATATTTACTGTATTGCCTTTGTGCATCATTGTGAGGGATTAAAGAAAAAAAACCCTACAAAACCAGTCTTTATTTTTTTTTTAATTTTTATTTATTTATGATAGGCACACAGTGAGAGAGAGAGAGGCAGAGACATAGGCAGAGGGAGAAGCAGGCTCCATGCACCGGGAGCCAGACGTGGGATTCGATCCTGGATCCCGGGTCTCCAGGATCGCGCCCTGGGCCAAAGGCAGGCGCCAAACCACTGCGCCACCCAGGGATTCCCCCCACCCCAGTCTTTATTTTTGAGGACCTTACAATCTAGCACTTTCCTAGAAATGCCAAACTGGTGAATGCTTATGAGTCACTGTTTGTTTATTGTGGCACTTGGCTCATCCTAAAAGAATGTTGGTAAACAAGAGATTTAGGGACACCTGGGTGGCTCAGCAGTTGAGCATCTGCCCTTGGCTCAGGGATCAAGTCCCACATCAGCCTCCCTGCCAGGAAGCTACTTCTCCCTCTCTCTGTGTCTCTCATGAATAAATAAATCTTTAAAAAAAGGTAAGATTTATTTTTAGAAATTATCTTTATTGAGACATTCTAAATTATGATTTTTATTCCCTATCAATAGCAACATAGAGAACTGATAGAAAAATTTATAGGTGATTGAAAACATTTGGTATGTTTTAAAGGATTATTAATAGTAGGTTTGATTATTCTTAATCTCATTTTGGAACTAGTGGGAAAAGAAGTGAAAGTTATGGTCATTATACATTTAGATTACTTAACTGTTTTGATATAAGTTGAAGAGTAAGTAGGCAGTATTTGCATTAAGATGTAACATTTATTTTTTAAAGATTTTATTTATTTATTCATCAGAGACACAGAGACACAGGGACCAAAGGCAGGCGCTAAACCACTGTGCCACCCAGGGATCCCCAAATGTAACATTTAGAATAACATTTAACTAGAAGTCTCTACTGACTACCATAACCTAAAACAAATAGGACTTGTGTATAACTCTAGTTTATCCTTCATGCTCTGCAAGTTAGGATTGAATTTTAAGTTAGGACTGACTTCTAAGGCATATTTGTCTCATTCTAAGCAAATGAGCAAAGAGGTGGCACAAGTTAGGAGATAGTCAAAGGCCCATGTTCCCACAAAGCCCTGTCCTCCATGGAGGAGAGAGGAGAGACGCTCACCACACTGCACACCCCCAGTTGCTAAGCTCTTCTAAAATCTGGAGCAAGTGAGGGGCTCATGGCTGGCTCAACTCCGGAGAACACATGACTCCTGATCTTGGGGTCATGAGTTCAAGCCCCATCTTAGGTGTAGAGATTTTTTTTAAAAATCTAGAACAAATAACATCAATAATTAGTCCTACCTCTCTTGGATTGGGAAATCCATTGGCAGTGATAATCTTCTGGTAATATTGAACTGATGCCTTTGGGTAGCGCGGCTTATTTCGGTTGTTAAATTCAACATAGTAGAATCCGTATCTATCAGAGTATCCTTTCTCCCATTCAAACTTATCCAACAAAGACCAGGAAGTATACCCTTTTATATTAGCACCATCTTTTATAGCTGCAAAGACATGTTCCATTTTTAATTTCATTTACTTGGAAAAAATAACATTGTGAAGGTAATTTTAAATGTGTTCATTTATGAGATTCAGAAACAAGCTTCAGTCAATGAAGGCTATTAACCAAAATACGTGAAGACAATCTTGGTTAGTATCTCACCTTTTAGCATTTCATTTATGTAGCCCTTAAGGTATTGAATTCTCCACTCATCACATAATTGCGTACAGTGTAATTTTTGAGACGCGCCGTTTTCTGTCACATAGATGGGAGGATTGCCATATTGAGTCTGAAAGTGAGTCATAGTAAGGAATAGCTTAAAAATTCCAACCTACAGGTGGGTTTCTGAATCTGAGGCACATAGAGTAACAGCATACTCAAGCCCGCCATATTCTAATAAAATGTATTTAGCATTTAGTAGGTGCCAGTTCACACATTTATTTGGAGGTGAATGTAGACAGGAGCAAATTCATATGAAAGACTTTTTCTCAGTTAATCCACATCATTGTAGAAAAAATGTACCTCATTCAGGTCTTGTTCTTTCCCACATAGTTCAAGTGAGAAGGGCGGCCAAATAACTAACGCGGGATGAGACTAGCTACAGCTCTATGTTCAGGTAGTTTCTCATTTAGGCATTAGTCTGTAAAGCCTTTATCTAGTAGCCTTTGATGTATAGAGGTAACGGAGTTTCACTTCCAGATGTACTCCCCTGACTAACTGAAATTAAAATAAAAACTTAAAAAAATGTAGGTACCTGAGCCTAAGCTATAAGACATGAATTCAAAAGTGTTCAGTAGGGGACTGCGAGTGGCTCAGTTGATTGGGCATCCAACTCTTGATTCCAGCTCAGGTATTGATCTCTGGGTCCTGAGATCGAACCTCATGTAGGCTCAGCAGGGAGTCTGCTTGTCCCTCTCCTGCGCTACCAACCCCACACATGCTTGCGTGCACGCACTCTCTCAAATCTTTAAAGAAAAAAATGTTCGTTGAATAGCTTAATGTGATAATCACCTGAGCAAAGTGGAGGAGCCTCCTAAATCCCCATGGCACAGAATATAGCCATTTAGACCCCAGATCAGGCCAGTTTGGGTCAACCAGTTCTACTAAATCACGATCATTCTGATAGCTGGGCCCCTGGCGGGAGGGGTAGTTCCTTTCGGTGATGTACCGAGTAGTAAAATGACCTAATCCCAAGAAATCAGATGTGCCTTTAATGTAGCTCTTTTCCTGGAGTGAGAACACTGGTAACCTTGACATATCCAGGCCTTGCTCCACACTCTTTTTCCCTATTGAGAGATAGAAATAGGATTTAACAAAGTTTGATTTTCTCACAATCCGTTTGCTGTTGTGTACCATGATAATACTAGCATATTGACCTAAAAACTGTTACCCAGATTCTAGGTTTTGGGATTCATTTGTATGGAAAATGTAACCTTAGACTTTTAAGCTGGAATTTTGACATTTGAATGCTATCCAAAATTTTAAAATTTTATATTGCTTAGAAGTTATATTTTCATAGATTACTCAGTAAATGACAACTTGTAGGTGTATTGAAAAAAGGGGTTGGATTCCTATATTATTTCTTATGCAAAAGTTGGTACTTTTGGTTTTCTCTGGGAAGAGAAGTGGAAGGTCATTGGTGTGGTGGGGGGACATATGGTCCCCTTCATGCTCTGTTGTAGTGTAAGCTGGTACAACCTCTGTGTTGGGAAATTTTGTCCTAATGTTTAAGATTTTTAAAGGGTATGTCCTTTCACTAACCAATATCTGTTAATGCTGCTTTAGAAAGGGAATTTTTTGAAACGTTGACAGTTCTCTCTTGGTCAAACATCCAAAATAGTCTTGCTGTGTGAGATTGTAACCTATTTCAATGCCACCCCTGTCTCTATAGGGGTATGCAGACTGATACCTCTTAAGTAAACGGAGCTAATACTTTTGGACTCCTATGGCCAGATACTGGCTGCCCGCCCATCATTAGTCCCGTGCCTGTCTTCTTTCTTGCCCTCTTCCTCATCCTTTTCCAAGGGGCCGTATCCTTTACAAGTGTCCTGACTCCCCACCTCAGAGACCCTAGTCCTCGTGATGTAGGGCATTCTGGAGTATCTGACAGTTCTGTCCCTTGAGGACTTCCCTTGAAAAGAAGTCAGTTGTGAGAGGAGACTGTCTTCTGGGAAGATTTTCCTTGATCTTAAAAATGGCTATGACGGAGCTATTTCCATTTTTCTGCCTCTGGGAGTTGATGTGCAAAGATATGATGCCTGGAGCTGCTGCAGCCTTCATGTGACCATAGGGAGTGGTTGATGGGCTGGCTAAAGGAGCCGGAGCGAAAGATGGAATGAGCCTGGGTCCTCAAAGACATCCCTGAAGGCTGGATTAACTGGCCCTGGATCACCCTTTTCTGGTCTTCTCTGACGTTGTGAAAACCAGAGCTTGGAAAGCATTTCTCGGGCGGCAGAACCAACGATAGGACTGGCACTGCCCAGGACTTAGTCTTTAACTTCTCCCTCCGACTTCACTTAAAGTGAAATGGAGTGGGGTGGGGAGAGCGAGACAGGAGAGCAGAACGTAGAAGGGAACGGCGCAGAGAATTGCTCTATTTTCCCCTGGCTTCTGAAGGCCTCAACCTCCCCCTCTGGGGATTTGTTTGGGTGTCCTCCTCCCCTCTCCCCAGTTCAAATAGGCAGTTCTCAGTTCCTTGGGGGCTGGGCTACCCCTTGAGGGCCCCACCCAAGCCCCTCGTGTCCCTCCGTCCTCTGGCCTCTCCATCACTTGCGCTCAGTACTGTTGCTGTGGTGCCTGGACCTAAAGACGGGACTTGGCTCACCGATCCGCTCCTTCATGACCTGGGGGTAGTCTCCGGCGTAGATGGGGTTGGCGAACCAGCCGAGGCAGAACTGTAGGTATCTCTCGGCGGCTTCTATGTCCTTGGGGCTACTGACGTCCACGGGCTCTCCCCAGTCGCAGTTTAGTGAGATCCCCACCAGACCTTAAGAGAAAGGACAGGCGGGTGGCAGGTGCGAGCGGCGTCCCCCCGGGGCTGGGACCCTCGCCCGCGGCTGGTGGGGCTCACCTCGCTGCTTGGCGCGCCACGTGCTGTTGTAGGAATGCCAGGCCTGGGCGTGGGCCTGAAAACGGAGGGGCGGTGCGTCAGAGGGGGACATCGGCCGGCACCTTTCTCGCCTGCCTTTCTGTCCTTCTGTCCCTACTAGAGATCCAGTCTGAGTCCCATCTTTCCCCCGAGTCCAACCTTGATGATCCCAAACCCTTGTTTCCTTTCCTCTGACCTCCAGAGGCACCTGTTTTCTTTGTTCTGTAGGGAAACTAGGTCTCCTACTGGCACAAGCACAAAACCAACCCCTTTGTGTTATTTCTCGTTCCTACGATTTTTGCTCAAGTTTCTTGTTTTGTTCTGCTCGTCTTCTGCAGTAACTAAGCGGTTCCTTTTACCCTAAGTGCTCAGGAAGTTTGGAAAATACCACGCATCTGGAACAGTCTTGGGAAAGGAATTCAAAATGCACCGACCTGCCTTCTCTCCATATTCTCTATCAGGCACTCACTGATGCCTTCGGAGACCCTTTTAAACATTCATGGTTGATGGGCCGCCTGGTGGCTCAGCCGGTTGGGTATCCGACTCTTGATTTCGGCTCAGGTTATGATCTCAGGGTTGTGGGGTGGAGCCCCCCATGGGGCTCCCCACTCAGTGGGAGTCCGTTTGAGATTCCCTCCCTCTGCCCCTCCCCCTGTGCTCTAGCTCTCTCTCAAATGCTTTAATAAATCTTAAAAAAAAATACTCGCAAAAATAAAAAATAATAAATACTTGCAGTTTAAGAACTCATAAGCCAAATGTAGAAAGAATGAGTAAGCTCTCCCCCTGACAGGAATTTGGGAGCCTAGTGTGCCCCCTGGTGCCCCCCTTAGGGGCCCCCTGACTTCCTAATTGATTTGATTGTCCTTCTGCTGAGAGTCCATTGGAGCCATGCTGTCATGCCTCACGTCCCTGTTCCCCAGGCAATGTCCCCCGCACCCTCTTCTGTGACTTGTGACCCAATCCCTTCCCCCTTCTCCAGCCTTCCCAGCAGCCTTGTCACTACGAGTCCCCCCGCAGCACCTCCCCTGTCTCCCTCACTTCCATGCCCTTACTGAGCGTGGCTGCCCCAGAGACCACCTCCACTGCAGCTCTTCCAAGAAGGGGCCGCTTTCCCCCCTCACACCCCACATTCCTTGGGGTGGTGGGTAGTAACTGCCTTGCCCCTTATTACTGCTCGAAAATTATTTCTCCTTCCAAAACCTCGGGTCCTTTGGAGTCCACGCCATGAGGCAGACACTCCTAACTCCTTCTTACTGTTGTCCTTTACCAACCCCCCGTTGCTTCTGCTCATCCATTGAAGATTTCAGCCCCCGGTGCACTGTCATCCTGCCCCTTCCTCCTGTCGCCGATCCTCACGGGACTGTTTAGGCCAAAGGTGACAAACTTTCACATGCGTGCGCTCCATCCCCCTTGACTGAATCATAAGCTCTAGAGAGCAGCCACTGTATTGTCTCACTGGCAGTGTCCAGCACTGGATGACTGGCCACTCCCTCCATAGATCCGTATGGAACGCAAGTGACCAGTGAGAAGGTGTGATAGAATTTGCTGGAACCACAAAGGACCGAGCTCAGGCTCAGACCCCCAGGGCCAGCTAAACTGACACTGGGGCTTGTCCCTCCACCTTGAACCCAGCCGTCCATCCCAGAAGGACCCACCTCACCTTAATGATGTGGTGTGCTGCCCTGTACAGGCCCGTGCCATGGAGTTGCAAGCCTGGAGCGTGGTGGCCCGTCTCGAAGCCTTTTTCTGCCATTGTCTACAGGGATGGCAAGCGGGGACCACAGGGCCGGTGAGAAGGGGGTAGGAGCCCTCTGGTCTGGGAAGGGGGGCTTTCCTACCTGGAGAAGGGCCCTGCTTACCCGAGGATCACTGAAAGTGATCCAGTGCTTCACCCGGTCCCCAAAGGCCTCAAAGCACAGATCGGCGTAATCACCGAAGTAGTTGACCATGCTCCCATTCTGCCATCCGCCGTACTTGACCTGGAGCAGCTGCACACACACAGTGGAGAAAGAAGCAGGCGCCCCAAGGGTCTGTGTCTAGAAAAGACCTCTGGAGTCAATAGGCCAGGGACATGGGAGCAACGGGGTGATGACAGTACAGAGGCTGCTGAGAGCAACAGAGCAAGGAAGGAGGTCTTGGGCATTACAGCCTGCGGATGGTGGCCGGTAAGGAACCATGAGGCGACGTCTGTGCGGACCTTCCTTGTGCAAACGAGAGGGGGGGGAACACAGAAAGTCTGAGACTCTCACGCTTAAAAGGAATGTTTAGGAAAATTGGCCAAGGTAGAAAGGTCTGATATTGGGAGAAAGAACCTGGAATGTACATTCAGAAGCAATAAGACATGATGCGGGACACGGAAGCTCTGATTAGGATTTTGAGGTCCGGACAGATGTCAGAAACCTCAGCAGCTCTGTTAGGAGGGTGAGTTCTGCTTTCTCCAGTGGACAGCTGTCTTCCAACCAAGGCCATCTGCTTATGAAGAGGTCAAGCATTCCCCTGAGATCGCCTACTGAGCTCTCCCTGGTGGGGTTTGAGGGGGGGATACTAAAGGGCCAGGTTAGTGAGAGCAGTTAACCAGGGAAGAAGCTGGAAGGTGGTTTCCAGTTTGTCTCCCTAAAGTCTACTGTACCCCCGCAGCCCCATTTAGAGGCCTCTCGCAGCTCACCTTCCCACAGGATGATCCCAGGCCCCTTAGCTCAGCAGTCAAGGTCAAGTCAAGTCAGGCCTGGCCCCCAAGCCACACTCCCACCTCTGCCCCTCCCCGTCCTGCCTGTTCCCCAGACCCTTAACTCAGTCACTTGCCACCCCCTCTCTCTGCTCCTTGCCGTGCTGTATCCCTTCCACTTCATGACCAACCCTTCAAAGCACTCATGGGACCCCATCCCCTTCCCAACACCTCCCTGAGGCCACATTTCCGTTCTCTGACCTCCTGCGGCCTGTGTCAGTCATGTCCACGACTCCTCTGCCGGTAGGCCGTGATCTCCGTGGGGCCTTGCCGGGTGGAGGAACCATTGCTTGAGTAGTGATGTCCGACGGGGAGGTTGAGACTCAGCAGGGATTGCTCAGGGGGCTGTGCTCATAGGATGCCGGCTCAAACAAACTCCTTAGTGATGCCGTGTCATCACGTCTCATGCAAAAGAGGTTTCTTTTTTTTTTAGTTTGGTTTGTTGTTTTTAGGCCAAATGTTTGGGGAAAACCTCAAAATCCACACTTGCCACCTATTACAAACATGAGTTAAACCAGCATGATGTCCCTCCGTGGGTGAGTCAGATTTCTTGGCTCCCTTGCAGCTCCTGGTCCAGACCCCAGGCTTTGCCCCATCTTGGCAACTCCCACCCTCCAGCCAGACTCTCCCCGCTGAGCTGAGCCCCCCAGGGCCCCCGCCGGGGTCGCACCCGCCTTACCTGCGGGAGATCCCAGTGGTGCAAGGTCACGATGGGGGTGATGTTGCTCTTCAGGAGGGCGTCGATGAAGTCGCTGTAGAATTTGATTCCCCTCTTGTTCACCTTGTCAGCTGAAGGCGAGGTTAAAAGGGGCCTTGGCCTTCTGAAGGGCAGTGCTCCTGGGCCCTGTGGAGCCCCCCAGCCCGCCTGATCCCGGGTCTGAAGCATGGCATGGGGGCCCAGCTGCCTACAGAACCTGGGGGGCTGCTACCAGAGAAGCCATGTTTCGGGGCTGCTCTCCCTCCCCAGCACTTTCCGGGGTCCCCGCAAAGCCAACATGGCCAAAGGGAACCCCACTTGGGCTTGGAAGGCGGTGGCCTGTCTCACCTCGGACACCTGTGGGAAGGAGCCGAGGCCAGGACAGGGAAAATCGGTAGTGGCTCACGCGCAGCTCCCTCAGCAGGATGATGTCCTCCTGTGCAGACAGGGGTGAGAGGCAGGGCAGGGTCACCTAGGGCTCTGGGGTGGGAGGTAGGGGGGGTCACGCTGGGGGCCCGGGCCAATGCTCACTCCTGTCCGTAGCTCCTCATCTATACAACAGCTGTGAAAGCACCTGCCCCTCTCTCCCCTGCCAGGCGTCACCTAAATGCAGGATATGGGGGTGCTTGAGATGTCCATTGGGGTGTTCCTAATAAGCTTGGGTGATGAATCCCCCAAGAAGTCAGCCCAGAGAGGAAAAGTGGGTCCCAAGCAGAGGGACTTCCTCCATAGGGGCCAATTCACAAGCAGAGGCCAAGGGTTCGGGCCACCAAGGCGCGTAGACCCTGCGATCATGGCATCAGCAGCTCGGTGGCCCATCATTTGGACCAAGGCCCTGCTTTCCTTTCCTTCCCCTCTTGCACACACACCCCCCAGCCCACCAATCCCTGGCCCACCACAGCCCCACCCCGTCACCTGCAGTGGGAGAGGGGGTGCTGAGCGAGCACCAGATTGATGTTGTCCCCGGGCTCCCCTAATACGTCACGGCACTTCCTCTGGGTGCATACTCCCCCCTCCCCCCACACACACACCCAACACTCACCTGTACCTTATAGTAACCATCACAAGCCACATCTGCTGTCTCATCCCCAAGCACCTTCCCCTTCCCGCTGTGCGTGAAGGCATCCCAGATGCTGGGCCCTTTGCCATCCTGGTCCCACGCTCCCTCTGTCTGGAAGGCAGAACTGCCCACGCCCCAGGAGAAGCCTGCAAGGAGACACCCCAAGCTGAGCCTCTGGCCCCCTTCATCCCCTACCCCAGCATCTGGACTGTGGGCCGTGCCCCCTGAGCCGCAGGGCTGACCCCCTCCCCAGCAGCCTGCCCCTGTCCCTCTAGCAATGGGAGCCTGTGGGGCAGGGCGGGGGAGGACAACCACATGTGGAACATTCGTTTGCACAGTTTCGGCCCTGATTAATACTTACTGTCTGCGTAGTAAGATTTAAAAGATCTGTGAGGGTGGGCAGCCCGGGTGGCTCAGCGATTTAGCGCCGCCTTTAGCCCAGGGCCTGATCCTGGAGACCCGGGATCGAGTCCCATGTTGGGCTCCCTGCATGGAGCCTGTTTCTCCCCCTGTCTGTGTCTCTGCACCCCCCCATGTCTCTGTGTCTCATGAATAAATAAATAAAATCTATAAATAAATAAATAAATAATCTGTGAGGGACTTCTATTTTAGAACAACTCTATGGAGTTCTTCTTCTCATCCTACCTGTCAGAAGACTAAAACATCAAGCTCTTGGGCCAGCCAGCCAAGGCGGGCAAACTGACACACAGACGGACAGACCAACAGAGGAGTGAACATACCAAGTGGGAAGGTTCCATAGTAGAAGGAGGCCTCTTCTGGGGATCCCTTCCTGGCGGCCCCCAGCCTGGACACCAGCAGTAGCACCCACCAAAGTGTGACAACCTGCACTGGCTTCATGGCACCCGGCCCTCCCCCATTCCTGAAAAAGCACACCTGACAGGTGTAGGCCCACGCAGCCAGGGCTGGGGGGCCGGATCCCAGCTTGGGGGCGAAGGCAGGAGGGGAGGTGGGGAGGAGACGGAGAACTTTGTCTAGAGAAGCCTTGGCTCTGCTGGGGCAGCTGGCCCATTGCTCTGCTGGGAGCCACCAGCAGAGGCTGAGCACCAGGTACGATTAAGGAGGAGATGACGTGCAGGCCTCCAAACCACCCCCTCTCCCTGTCGTATGGGGATACCCAGCCCATACCCTGTGAGAGGCCCTGACTGCGTGGGGAAACCATTTCTGATTTAGGGAAGCTCCAGGTGACGGGGGAGGCAAGACAACCCACAGATGCCCTGAAGCGCCCCCGCCTGTATGCTGTGGCATGTGCAGGGGGACAGACTTGTCCCCAAGCTGGGGATCACGAGCAGGGTTGCCATCCCTGGGCCTGCAGTCCCGAGGGTCAGGACGATGCCCTCCCACTGAGATCCCCTCCCTCTCGGGTGCAGCCTAGCCAGATTACCTGGGGTTGTTGTCCCGTGTCCCAGACACCCCCAGGCTAGCAGTGACAGCCAGAGCACTCTCAGACTGACCCCAGGGCCGTTGCTGCCCCTGAGAGCAGAGCCCACAGCACAGGGAAGGCTCTGGTTGGGGGTGTGGCCGGTGGCCCAACCTCCCCCTACAAAGAGGTTCAATAGCCCCATTCAGTGGGGAGGGCAGGAATGCTGAGCTGGCCAGTGGGGCCTGAGTCAGCAGCAGGGGCAGCCTGGCCCTGGGCCCTGGGCATCTAGTCAGCCCCCTCGCAGGGCAGAGGGGCAGGGACCCAGGCCCCCGGGCCCCTTCTGGGCCTGATGTGCCCATTCCACACACCTTAGCCTGGGAAGCCGGAGGTGGGGGTGGCGGGGTGGAAATCAATATTTGCAGGCAAGCCTCTGTGTCCGTGTCTCCCCACTGCTGGGGATAACTGCTGGCAGACAGCGAAGTTGGTCCTTCCACCTTGCCTCCTCCGTTCGGACGCTTCATTCCTTACCTCACTCTCTCCCTCGCTCACTCAAGCAGGATTGCCTGTTAGAACAGCCCCCTGGAGGTTCAGCCCCTGTGGCTTCCCATCCTGGCTGGCCAGCTCTCCCCCTCCCCTCCCGTTCCCCCCACCCCCCCGCAGCCCCACTGGCCTCCAGCTCCCCTGCCTTCTGCTGAGCCCCACGGGGGTTCTCTCAACTGGGTCCCTTAGCTCTGGGTGGTTGATTCATGTCTTTCTGCCATAGTGGAATGGGACTGGGCTGTGCCCTCCAGTGCCCTCCCCTACTCCCAGGTCTGGTGGGGGAGGAAGGCGAGGGTGGAGGGAGGGGACGGGAGGTGCTTCTAAACACTGTACAAGGGGGATCAGGGCTCTCATGGGAGGATGGGCAGGATACTGCAGAGGCTCAGGGAGGTGGGGCTGGCTTCCCAGGGGAGGGGACATTGGACAGGACACTTGAAGGCTGCAGAGGTGTTGGCTAGGGGGCAGGGAGCAGGGAAGTCATGGGAACCAACAAGGGGAAGAGCAAAGGCCCCGAGGTGTGTTTGGGGAACCAGGAGCTTGGTGTCTTCCCTCCTCCTGCGTCTGCTGTGCAGGGTGCAGCCAGGCAGGGCAGTGTCCTCGGGGTGAGCAGGCTGCTGGACAGCCACCCGAGCACCCATCCCTCTGTGGGTGGACTGCTGTGGTGTCCGAGGCCAGTGCTGTGCTGTTTGCACCAGGGCTGGTGCCTGCCTCACCGGGCTTGGGGCACTGGGGACTCTGTTCTCTGGGCTGAGGCAGGCAGGATACATAAAACTTTAAGAGCTGATGTCATCTCTGAAAAATGCCCCCTTCCTGCAGAGCCGGGGGCCGGTGTTTGTGTTGGAGGGGATGGTCAGCCTGGCACGGCCAGGGCTGCTTGGGGGTTGTCTGGCTCTACTGTCCAAATCCTGTTCTCCTTCCACCCGCGTCATGCCTGGCTCTGGCTGGAAGGGCCTGGGTCTCCCAGCTGGGGAGGGAGGGGACTTTTTACCACCCTCCTCCCCTTCCAGTCCAGGGGCTGCTTGGGTCCAGCCTGAGGCCTGCAGCAACCAGGGCAGGACCCTTCCTTTGGGTCTGACATCCTAGAAGCCAGGCCTGGCTGGAAAACAGGTGCGTTGGGGGCAGGGGGGTTTGGGAGCGCTGTAGCTCTCCCTTTTTCTCTCCCTGCAAGGGGCTGCAGAGGTGGGCCCCTCTGCCAACAGCCCTTGCAGGACCCAGTGCACAGCCCAAGCTCTGTGACTTTTAGGAAGGGACTTGGTAAAAGCCAGAAGGTCTGGACAGCACCGGTGGGTGCCAGGTATTGGGGTCTGGATATGAGAGAGGCCCAGCTCAGTCTGCTCTGGGTCAGGATCCTTCATTGCTAAGCAAGGGGCTGGAGTGGGAAAGACCCTGCAGATTCAGGCAGACAGACTCCTGCCCCCATGTAGCCAAGAAGTAGCGTGGGGTCCAGTGACAGGGACTTTCTCTCTCTGGGACTGAAGCTCCCTATCTATAAAATGAGAGTAGGTCTCTCAGGGTCCCCTGGCTGGCACTGTGGGACCCAGCAATTCTCTTCCCTGGCCCTAGGAGCTAGCTTTTCTCTCTCCGGAGGGTCTGTAGGTTCCATCTACCACCAGCCCCAGCCCTGCAACCCAACTCAGCCCTATTTAGCCCTGACTGAAGGGGACAAGCCCCAGAAGACAAGGTTCAGTCCTGGCGTGCTGTGTGACATTTGGTCACCCATTGCCCCTCTCTGGGCCTTTGTTTCCTCCTCTGTGAAAGCTAAAGAGGCTGGCTACTAGCTGTCAGGTCTTCCTTAGCTCTGAGGTTCCATTAAAGAGGTGATAGGTTGTTTAGAGGTTGTCTTGGTTTTGTAGGAGGCAGGGAAGGTGGTCAGGGCAGTGCTGACGATGCTGCGATGGAGGTGAGGGGTTTGCAGGGATGACGGTGGGGCTGTTTCACGGGAGCACATCTCTGTGTGTGTGTGTGTGTGTGTGTGTGTGTGTGTGTGTCCAGGGAGTATCAGGGGAAAGAGCCCATCTCAGGGTGTAGACCTGTTCAGGGGAGCAGGAACACAGGGCCAGCAGTGGGATGCTTGGTTTATGAAGAGCAATCTGAGACCAAGTCAGATTTTCTTCTGAGGATGGAGCAGAGACCAGTTGTCTGTCTGTCCCCCCTCAGGGAGATGGGGTGGGGAGGGGAGGTCGCAGGGATGGGATGAGTGCTTGTAGAGCAGAAGTGGGCAGTGGTTAGGATGGAAGAGTCTGGAGTCAAATATAACTTGGCTTCCCAGCTCAGCATCTGCCAGTTGAGAGTTACATACAAGTCCCCTGACTTCTCTGAGCTGTTTTTCCCGTATGCATGGAGATGAGGTTAGTACAGGATGGACTTCCTGGCGTCATTTAAACATTAAAGGACATGATATGAGAAAAAGCTCCGCATCACTTGCCATCAGGGAAATACAGATCAAAACCACAATGAGATCCCACCTCACACCAGTGAGAATGGGGACAATTAACAAGGCAGGAAACCACAAATGTTGGAGAGGATGCGGAGAAAAGGGAACCCCGTTACACTGTTGGTGGGAATGTGAACTGGTGCAGCCACTCTGGAAAACTGTGTGGAGGTTCCCCAAAGAGTTAAAAATAGACCTGCCCTACGACCCAGCAATTGCACTGCTGGGGATTTACCCCAAAGATTCAGATGCAATGAAACGCTGGGACACCTGCACCCCGATGTTTCTAGCAGCCATGTCCACAAGAGCCAAACTGTGGAAGGAGCCTCAGTGTCCATCGAAAGATGAATGGATAAAGAAGATGTGGTCTATGTATACAATGGAATACTACTCAGCCATTAGAAACGACAAATACCCACCATTTGCTTCGACGTGGGTGGACCTGGAGGGTATGATGCTGAGTGAAGTAAGTCAATCGGAGAAGGACAAACATTATATGTTCTCATTCATTTGGGGAATATAAAAAATACTGAAAGGGAATAAAGGTAAAGGAGAGAAAATGAGTGAAAATATCAGTGAGGGTGACAAAACATGAGAGGCTCCTAACTCTGGGAAATGAACAAGGGGTAGTGGAAGGAGAGGAGGGCGGGGGTTTGGGGTGACTGGGTGGTGGGCACTGAGGGGGGCACTTGGCGGGATGAGCCTTGGGTGTTATGCTATATGTCGGCAAATTGAACTCCAATAAAAAAAATTTTTTTTTAAAAAAAAGGACGTGATAGATGTAAATGCTTACTGCAGCGCCCCGCAGAGAGAAGGGCCCCAGTAAAGGATCCCTGTCAGCAATGCCATCGTCTTCTCAAGGCTGAACCCCACTTATGGGGGTGTTCTGGATAAGGCCCAGCGTCCCAGCGGGTAGATGCTCCCTGATGGTCTGACGAGGGGTTTCCATGATCTGAGGGCTTTGTTTGTTTGAAAGATCCCAAAATCCTGCCATGCTGTGGGCTCTGCAGGAGCCAGGCCCCTGTGTCCCTGCTGTCCCGAGCCCTGCACTGTAGAAGCCCCGTCCTCACCCACGGGTGGGGTGCCCAGGGGTCAGCGGACCTGGGGGGCTCCCGCTAGCTCTGAACAAAATATAAGAAGGGCCTTTTACCTTTCCTGGCATGGATGGTAACTTCCGTAGTCTGCCTCACTTCTCAGAGTGCCCAACATTTTGTTATAAAAATGTTCGGGGACGCCTGGGTGGCTCAGTGGTTGAGCGTCTGCCTTCGGCTCAGGTCACGATCCCGGGTCCTGGGATCAAGTCCCGCATCAGGTTCCCTGCGAGGAGCCTGCTTCTCCCTCTGCCTGTATCTCTGCTTCTCTCTGTGTGTCTCTCATGAATAAATTAATAAAATCTCTAAAAAAATAAAAATGTTCAAACACACAGGGAAATTGCAAGAATTGCACATTTCACACCATACGCTCCCTGAATGTGTGCTGAGACCATATTTTATTCTACTTGCTTTA